GAACCCGAAGGTTCGTTACCGCGTTCACAAGAGTCTGCCGCTGAACCTTATCTTGAGCCTGACGAATAAAGGCATAATGTCACATCCTGTTTCTTTAAGATCCGTTTTAGTATTATCCTCCCATCTACATGCACGTCCTCTAAGTGGGGGCTCCCGTCAGGCTTTGAAACTAACACTCTATATCAATTTGTCATTTGCCTACTCCATGCTCCGCCCTACTCATCTTCCTTGATTTGATCTCGGGTAAAAGTAAAGGTAGTATCTGCTTCTGTGCTTAATTAATTAAGCTCCACGCCATGAAGGTGTATGGGAGTGGAGATATAGCTCGACCGTTCTTGAGCTCGGCATTAGCTGGATATGAGTTGTCAACCTTACGCTCCTGCCAATATACCCCCAGGGAGAGAGCCCCCTCTACCCATTGGACACGAGGGTGAGTGGGCCTCAGAGGCAGTTTTGACATTATGGAGAAGAGAGAAATCTTTCCTCTGCCAGCAATCGGACCCCGGCCGTCCGGCCCGTCGCTATACCGATCTTGGGGCGAGTGTAAATTACGAAATTCTTCATTGTACAGTTTTCCCCACCCTCCTGTCACACCTCTTCTCTTAAGTCCACATATCCCCCCCGTACACCCTCAGCCTGTGTTCTTCCCTTGCGTTGAGAGACCCGATTTCTCGCCCCACACAACCCGTCACTCTCAATTCAGGCACCTGGTTTTCTTTCTGCCTTGCTGCCGTGTCAGTTCCACAACTGTGCAACCTGCAGATTTGTTGGACATGTTCACATGGAGTCGCAAACGGCGAGCAGAATTCTTACGGCAGCTGGAACAGAACTGCTTCAAAATGGCGGCACCAATTCCGTCTGTAGTGGTTGGCAGTGACAAGTGACATTATGACGGGGAGAGTGGAAATTGTGCTCAGAAACAACATTACAATTATGTTTAGAAGTGACTCAGAGAACTTGCAAGTCCACGCGTGCCGAATTTCATAGAGAAACGCATCTCATTCGATATAATTAACATCGCGAAGACAGCGAGCTGGTTGGCGCAGCGGTACCGCTTTTTACTCTCCATAGGGATATGGAAGGAAGCGGTCGGAGCTATGCCGGTGACTGTACAGTACCGCCTTCTGGGATGTGAGGCCGTGTAGTCTGTCTGACTGTTCCTGCGAAAAGTCTCCATCTGCAGGACCGAGAAGTAATATTTCTTGCTTGGCTCAGCCTTCTGTCTTGACAGTGTTCCTCCGAAACGTCGGCGAGCTGTCAGGACTTACCGGTGCAGGGACTTAGCCTTGGTTCCGGCCGACACTTTAACCGAATGTTGCGCTCAGACATCGGCACTAGCGAAACGAACGAGACACGTCAGGCGCCGTGAAATAAGGTCACAAGCGGCGAGATATATCACCAAGGTGACATCTGTAGGCCTCGCTGTCGACCAACGATGCGGAGCAGTGCAGTTTGCCTACCTCTCACGTGTCCCCCGACGAGGGAATGTAGATCAAGGTGTGTGTGTGTAAGTATTAGGCGAAATCGTGTGATTCGGGGGGTCTAGGTACGGGGTGTCCAAACGTGTTCTCTCTTCTGATGTTACAAATCAACTCTAGCTCTTTCAACGTTCTTCTTTAATAGTATTGTACTAGTAATGCCCGTTGAAAAGTCGACGGAAAGTCTCTTCATTTGTTATACAGGACGAGTACTCTATTCAGCAATGTGACCGCGACATTTTAGCGCATTCACAGGTTTACTCTGTCGGGGAGAATAATGTAGCATGTAGACAAGCAACAGCTGTGTAAACAGGCGACAGTATTTGTCAAATAATAGTACCAAAAATCAAAATTACTATAAACATTTACCCTCCATCCTACAGAGCAGTGTTTCTCAACCGCCAGTCCGCAGGAAATTTTTTCCGTGCAAAAAACTTTTACCACACCCCATCTACCGTGGGGACGAGAGTGCGTTATCAGCATGCTCCCGGTATTGGTACGCCGACGAGAAATCCTGACGTACTTACAGAAAACTTCTCTCCGTAAGGTTGTCTACACGAAGTACGACGTGCCCTGGCCCGTAGAGTGGACTTTCTCAAAGCAGTTCGGAGAACGTGATTCCGTTCAGGGCCACTGCCTTCTCGCGCAGGCTGTGTGCGCGTACAACACATGTGCAGCAGAAATGGCATACTCATTAAAGAATTTAGTGTACTATATCTACACCCATACAATTTTAACGGTCCGAGATATTACACCGGTCTCCAGTACAGTTTGTGTTGTGAAAAAGTGGTACAGGGGCCGATAAATCTAGGCCCGTCCGCCAACGAAATTCATGGAAGGCTTGAACGTAATGCTGTAAGCAAATCCTCTGGTTGCAGGTGCCCCCTTGAACATAAACTTGGCGGCTTTCATGGGCTTATTGGCTGCAAACAGTGTTGTTATTCCTCGGTTAGGAATCAGAATTATGGCATTGATAAGATATATAGTTTATAGTGCTGCAATTGCTCTGACCTGTTGCAATATAAGCAGATAAGCTCTGTTAGTCTCCTTACGAGTAGATCTGGCCACGTGACGACTGATGGCAGTAATTGCGAATATGTAGCGGTGACCTTAACACGTATGAAACCAAAATCTCTTCTACCTTGAAGGAGGTGTCACAGTGTCACATCCTAGAACACCTCAAAAGGCAATGAACATCGAGGCGAAGCCGTGGGGGCTCGAATGTTACAGGAGTAGGCGAAAAGCGAAAATTGCGGGAGAAGTAAAAAGGTTCCCAGGCTCCGCCCGTTCGTCCTTCTGATAAGGGCAGTGTGGTGGAGTGAGGAAGTTAGGATGCTTAGAGCCAGAGGCCGCGGGGTTCTGATTTTGTCAGTTAGTGTCGAATTGTCTAGTTCGTGAAGATAGTCTGGCAGTGGATACAGCTGCGTGGTTTGAGTCAAGCGAATTGAAGTCGGGAGGGCTGCACGCGTAGCACACAGTAGCAACTGGAAACTTGACCGCCTCAGCATTTGCACTTCCTGGCTGGGAAAAAATCATTCCTTCAAAGAGTAGACCGGCTCAGGGGCTCACCCAGCATGTGAATGTGGGGTGCGAGGGGATAACCGTACCTTTCCTCTATAACCCAAGGCAGCCCCAAAATGAGCTAGAGGCTATGTGAAACTGCAATGACTGTACCGGGGGGGGGGGCAAATTGCGTAACTGCGCGGTGTCACTGTTCCAACGCCCACGCACGAACCGCGACTCCATCATTACCCGTAGGCGCCTCACAGAGAAGCAGAAAGGTGAAGCGGTGCCAGACGTATGCTCACTTGTACTTAATGTGGTCTGTTACGGACAGGCGACATTGAAATTGAGGCGAGAAACCGCACAAAAAGGGCGAGGGCCAAGCTGAGCGCTAGTGGCGCCACAGGCCGGCGTATTCATAGCTCGAAACTGAAATGAATATTCGCTTGTGATCATCAAACTGCCCTTCAATCAAGATGTAATTATATCCAGACTCCTGCCTCCTCATTCCTTGCTTCGCTTTTGCTGCGTTTCTCTTTGTTTGTACGTCTTTCCCCTGTAATTGCGGTGGTGTAAACCCTCATCCAAGGAGTCCTACCTCTCATAACGCAGCACAGGGAGGCTTGAATGGGCCGTAACGAGCCGTCGTGAGATTATAACAGCATTGCTTTATCCAGCAGCAAGTGCTGCCACGTGCCGGCAGATAAAGCAAACAGCGTCCGTCGGACTGCGTAACGCTTTAATGTGCCCGCCGAAGCGTAGGTACGCTAGTGCCAAGTTACGTGTACCTCCTCCGCTCCTCCCTCCTTTCCCTGCTACTTCGTCCGTCGATATGAAGGTCAGTTCATAATCTTTTTCCGGTTGCTGGAGTTTCACACCGGCTCCTTGGATCGCCTGAGATACTGCATGTTTCACATGGGAGGCGCTTCTAAAAACCAGTCTTCAGGTGACGTCATTACAGCGAATGCTCCGTGCAGTAATCAGAATAAAAGGCTGGAAAGCTGCAATCCATGTCTCAGCACCCCCCCCCCCCCCGTGCGGCTGTTCCGAACGGCTTTGACGAACACTCAAACTGACCCTGTCTCAAGCCGGTTAAATCCAGTTCGCATCTTCATAACCGGCCATTACTAACACCCCCCCCCCCCAGTACGTTACGGGTGCCCCAAGCAACATCTGCCCCATGAAGCAGAGTTCTTCCGCGAGGACATCAACAAATTCCACGTTTCAGAGCAGTATCTTCTGGGACATGACGCCGTGTAGTCTGGTACACGTTTGGAACACTACTGTCTCAGGGTCAGGCAATAAGACCAGCAAGCACAGTGCTTACTTGCTCGGTTTACTTTTCCATCGTGAAGATGGAGGCATTGTTTGTCCGATATCTTGGCGAAATTCTACCAGACTGCATGGCGCCAGTACTCTAAATAGTTATCGCTGTGAGAGCTGAAATCTCATACATTTATTGTGGTCATGTCATCCCAGTGTCATTAAAGTTCATGATGAAAGTCTGTTGCAAGCCAGCTCAGTCCACTCGACATCTTCATTACGTGCTGCGTTTGTCACGTTCGATTTACCTGCACACACATAGGCACAATATACGTTTTGTTGATCTGTTTCACGACTCGAGTATGGTAAGCCATGTCCACAGGGTCCCCCCCCCATTGTTCAGGCGCAGAAGGGAGGACGTCAAATTGGACGCGATGTCAGGCCCTCACGGCGCGGTCTTCTGAGTTGTGATGCCCTGAAGTTCGTCACCACGACGGTGGAGGTGCGGCCGATAATTTCGTCCGCACTACACGCGGTCACAACCCAGAAGGCCTTACCCTTCATAAAATTATATTTTCTTTCGAAGGCACATTTCTTAAGAAGAATGGCCCTTGTTATCATTGCTTTGTATCCTGCGGAAGAAAGGAAGCCGTTGCTTCTGGCGTGGCGTTGTCCTGCTAACGGACTTAACGGTCCGCACGTCCTGCTGCCAGTCGGAATGGTTACTCCACTTTATATTTGTTCTGCTCAACTCACCTGTTAGGTTCCTGGGGAATCTTCTGTCACTTGATGTAGCCATATTTGTTCACGTTTTCTCAGATTCCTGAAACAGAAAGTCCGTACACATGATAATATTGTCACGTTGCCAGACACGGGTTTTGTATTGGTTACTGGATTTCTTGAACGCTTGTGACTCATACCTTGAAACAATTAAAACGCTTTCACTAATCTACACACTCCACAAATCACTACAACACACTAAGACAGCGCACTGTTATGTCTTCAGCAGTCGTTGCTAGACAACGGCTTCTAACAATGGTTATCTCTCTGCTCACGGCTAACCACCAATTAGGAGTGCCGATTCATGGCTCGGCACGGACCTCATAGAAAACAGTGCTTCGAACAGTTCTTTTACTGTTGCGTGCGTAAGCGTGTTTACCGAACATGCCCAGCAGTGGCTGTCTTTTCTAGCTCCATTATTCCGGCTTTCGGGCGTCATGTCATTTATTTAACTACGCTGTCACTAGCTCATGCCAGAGAGCGTCGAATGGTAGGATGATTAGTGAACAGTGAATTGGCAGGGAAGTGAAAGGACGCGATCGTAGCATAACTTGAGATACTGTCCTGTCATTTGCTTAGAGGAACTGAGGAAAAACACCGTAAATTTCAGACAGATTTGCCTCTCTTGGGGCCAGGATTTGGGCTTGGGTCCACCCAATTACGAAACAGCAGTGGCACGCGCTCTACCGAACCGTTCGGTGTGGCATTAATAGATCCACATTTTCTTGACTTCGGCACTAGTTGGAGGTGAGTGGTCAGCTTAACGCTCTGTTCGCTTTACCCCCGGAGAAAGAGCCCCCGATACCCATTGGATAGGAAGCTAGGTGAGCTCCAGAGCAGATCTGGATGACGTGGAGAAGAGAAAATTCTTGACCCACAGGGACTCCAACTCCGACCCCTCAGACCTCCAGCCCATAGCCAGTTGCTATATCGACTGCGCTAGCCCGGCTTCCGCAACGAATACTGGTGGACACCTACCAGACTACACGGTGTCATAAGCCAGTGCACTACATCTGTTCTTCAGATTTGTCAGGCATGAACAGGAGTTGCATCTGCACTCAACTGCAGAGTCTCTTATCGCTGCACGTCACTGCCGGCTGGTGAAGCTTAGCAACCAGCAGCTGTTTTTGTGATCGGGGACTGTGGACGGAAGTAAAGTTGTCTCTCTGCTTAATTAATTAAACATCGGGCCACGAAGATGGATGGGGGAGTGGAGTTATAGCTCCCCCATTCTTCGCCTCGGAACTAGATGAAGGCGAGTGGTCAGCTTCACGTCTCGTCCGCTTTACCCTCGGAGAAAAAGCCTCCGACACCCATTGCATACGAGGCCGGTTGGACCCCAGATTCGATCTCGACGCTATGGAGCAGAAAAAGCTTATTGTCCCTGCAGGGAGTCGAACCCTGGTCGTCCTGCCTGTAGAGATTATTGAAAGGCAGGAAGGAATGAACATCGGTTGTCCCCTGGCAGACATCACCCCACCACTGCCCCACACTCCTCTGTGAGCTTGGGCTAGTGTAGTGGGTCCGTCTGAAGCCATGGGACCGAGCGAGGGGCCCGGTCTCACTCCACTCCGTGCCTGGGCGTTCGTTACCTTGTTCAGAACAGCCCGCCACTGTTCCCCTTCACCCTTCCTGAGCCACACGAATCCAGTCCACACACTCATACCCCAGGCCTGTGATATCCATGCGTGTCTCTCATTTCTAGTTCGTATCCTGACACTGTCAGTAGCTCAGGCTGCGTAGCGTAGGATGATAGGTGGTAGTTGATAATGAAGTGGAATGGATGCGAAAGGAAGCGCTCGTGGCCTAACTTAAGGTACTGATCCTACATGTCTGTAGGGGGTGAGGAAAACCACGAGAAACTCAGTCCGGATACTTGGTACCCCGGCCAAGATTCGAACCTGTTTTCTTCTAAATCCTTCCGAGTCTTCTCGTCCGTTGAACTAGCTACAAACATTCTGCATACATTTCTCATATCCTTCGCGCGTGCTATATGCCCTTCCTATCCCCCTCTCTGTCACAAAGCGCTGAAAGATTTATTTCCGACGACCGCGACGCCTCACGCCACAGTGACGCATCTGAAGCTCTACAAGGACGCTCTGTAATCAAGTGGCTCGACGCCACACGCATGCGCATGATGTGCTGCACAGTTCGGAAGGTACTTGGTTCAGATCTCGGCTGTGTTTCCATGATCCAGCATCGTGAACAATAATTTGTAACGATTCTGTCGCGTAGGGTTTGAGGTTCTCACAGCGGTCGTTACAGAGAGTTCTGTCTTGTGCAGTCACGAAGCCAGCGTGAAAGCAGAATAGGACAATTACATTAACCTGCTCGTTAGGAGTCGTTCGCGTGTTCTCCTGGGTGGGAGCCAGAAGAGAAAGATCTTACCCCTACCGGGACTCGGACTCCGACCCCTAGGCCGTCCAGCCCGTCGCCAGACCCTACACCGACTCCGCTACCTCGGCTGTATTCACAGAGTCTGGTCTGCTGTTAAGCTTCAGTATGTGAACTTCTGGGTCATGACACCGTGTAGTCTGGTAAACTGTTCATCAGCAGTTTGGAGGAACATACAGCCTGCATCTTCCTCCTACCAGACTACACGGTGTCGTCATCCAGAGATGAGAACACTAATCTTCATTGTCTCCAGAACTTAATGTTCTCTGCCAGGTAGGAACTGTTGTTGGAGAGCTGTACTCAGCAGCCGGGAGCACATCCACGTGCACTCCGCAGGGAGTGCACGTGGATGTTTCTGTGTCGCGCGGCGGGGGGAACTCCGACCTCTGCAGATTTACTGAACGTACGCAGCCCCGTTTGCGAGCCATAGCCCGGCACTGCCTCGTAAGCATGAGTTCGGTTCTCGGCCGCAGACATCGTGCTTTTTCTCAGTCAGGCCATGGGAAAACCAGAGTAGCATTTCCACTGCTTCCTGCTTCAGCAGCTAAATAACTCTCGATGTTGATACACATCAGGAATTGCCTGAGCATAAGAGACAGGATCGAGTGTAGGTTTCTCATGACACGATAAAAGACCATAGCGCATGCGTGGAAACACGACGTTGAATGTGGGCCTATAGCAGGATGAAAGGATATGAAAAGTGAAATTCGAGGTTCTCACGGTGGTCTTTTTTTTTTTAATTCGCTTAGCGGGGGGTGCATTCCAACTGGGCCCACTCGGCACGGCGGCCACTGATTGGCCTATTGTAGCCTGCCCCGGGTGATTATGATAATGGAGAATTTGGTGGAATGAAGATTGGCAGGGGAAGCCTAAGTACTCGGAGAAAACCCGCCTCAGAGCCATTTTGTCCACCACAAATCCCACTTGAACAGACCCGGGATCAAACCCGGGCCGCCGCAGTGGGAAGCCAGCGACTAACCGCTTGAGCTATGGCGCGGCCTTTCTCACGGCGGTTAATATGAAGGCTATTATGTTCCGGAATGTGAGAAAATGGAGGCAGCAGGTTCCTCCGAAACGTTGGTACCAATCTACACGGCAGCAAATCCCGTAATACCTCTATTTTCAATAATAGGTATATTCCAGTCTTTTTCATCCTTCTGTTTTTCTTTTATTTCTTTAATTCTTCGTTTTTCTCTCTTTCTTTCTTCCTTAATTTTTCTTATGTCTGTTTATTTCATTCTTTCGTTTCTTCTTCCCTTCCGTCCATTTTCATTTTCTTTTTATTTTACTCGTCTTTCTTTCTCGCTTTTCCTCTAATGTTTCTTCTATTCTTTCTTCGTAATTTAATCCATTCATTTATGTCTCGTTCTGCGAATATTCTTCACAAGAGAACCTGACGCTCATTTGTCTCGAGTGGTGGTGGGTTCTGTCAGACATGGCGCTAAGGAATGCAGCTCAGGGCGTAAGTCTTCAAGTTGGTACTGCCATTTTAGTGTCACGCGCTTAACAAGGCGTGTTGAGCCTGTCACTGGTATGGATATGCCTGCCAGTTGACTCTCTGGTTCAACACCGCTAACACGAAAGCCTGCCATTGGAAACGATCTTGAGCCAGTTCTATACATACTCTGTAGGCCTATACATTCCTAACTACAAGCACAGCCCATCATAACAAACCCAGTTCGCCGCCTGCTTTTGCCCGTTTCTTCCTTGGCTAACATTTCGACCTTGACGAAGGAAGCGATATGCTTGTTCTAAATGTCTGGCGTTACAACCCAGTCATCCCAAGATGCAACGCAAGAGCAAGGTTCGAATCTCGACCGGGATACCGACTGTCCTCAGCAGAGCCTTCCGTGGCTTTCCTCGGTACCTTTGGGCAAATGTCGGGGTCAGGCCACGACCGCTTGCTTCCAGTTCACGTGTCATCCTATCATCCGACGCGTCGTTGCGTAACCCAGTCGTGCTGTCAGCAACACAGTGAACCGGCGAGCCCTGCCCTCGTCCGATGTGCGAACATAGGGTAAGGGGCAGATGACAGCCGACGAAAGTGTATAACTAAGCTGAGAGCTGCCAGTTCGATTGGCGAATTTAACGACATTTCACCAACCAATTGGAAGTATGTAATTAAAGAAAGAAGCGAGGGCAAAAGAAGTCTTCCCCAAGCTGTTTTCTGTTCAAGGGACACTGTGTTTCCATGGTCACGTGCAATATCTACTGTTGAACAGCCACGGATAGTTCGCTCGAACTGCTGAGAGATGGCGGGCCACGTTTCTTTCACTGGTCTCACACAACAAATAAATATAGACCGGAAGGACCATGGAACGGGGTATTAATATGACGAATGGCTACAGATCTGATAAGCAGTTGCAGGGTTAAATAATCACATATAACCATAAATTGCTCTCATACATACATGTGGGATGTATTGAGCCTATTCACATGCATGCACTCTAGGGATCGGCTGGCTTTATGTTGCGTATGTTACGTTACTCGTATGTTGATATGTTCGGTGGTGCCTACATGCCTAGGTTACGGGATCACATTCAACACGCACTGCGCTGCATAAGTGTGCCTATCGGGCCGCGTGCTTTATCTCCGAAATAAATGAATGGATTTGGACGAAGTGTAATTAGTGCTTACATTTAAACCGGTCAGATGAATTTAGTTCGGTTCGTATCAACTGATATTCCACAAAGTGGCCAAACTTAAATTGTTAAATTTGTAGTCACTGTTTATAGTGCGTATCAGTAGCATATGGTAGGAGTAGCAGACTTCATTAAGAACAGCGCTTCCAAGTTAGGGAATGTTCGCATAGCATAACAATTCAGGCGTGTCCACTTCTTTCTGTTTAGGCATCTCCAACACCATAGGACTTGTGGGCGGAAAAATGTTGGAAATGACATACGTTCTTCATTTCTCTGTGCATCATTTACCCGGAAACGTGTTTCGCTCTGATAAACATTTCACGAGTTACGCTCGAAATGCGCCCGGACACGCCTACGTCTTCATGTGAAGTGTCCGCTGCTGCTGTTATCTGATTTGATCCAGAACTGCGATGGCTACCCGTTTCTGGTGTTTCACAAACATCCGCTCAGTCATGCTCGATACAGACCGTGAATGTTACAGGCGCCTTTTTGCTAGTTTTGACGCGAAAACACAGAAAAAGGAAAGGATTCGCATATGTCATGAAACGATGTACATGTTGACAGAGTGTGACGCTGGCAGTGCGTCGGTACAGTATTCGTTCCGACAGAACTCGGTTCGCCACTGTCACGTTGAAGTGACCGCCAGTATCAACGCGAAATTAGTTCCCGAAAGCACACCTGGACAGCTACTGTTGCGTGTCCCTCTGAAGATATGCTACTGAGTGGCAGGTGATCACTTACCGCCCGGAAGCACGGGAGGGGAAGAATAACAGATCCGATGTCTCACTTCACGTCCGGACCGCAAGACAACAGCCCCACTACTGACTGCCGCCTGTAGGCTCCATCTCTAGCCGGCAGAGCCACCTCCTGGCGGAAATCTGCACGCGACGCGACGCAACGAGACGCGAGACGCGGAGCTGACGCTGGGCACAGTTCCAACATCGCAGCATACCTGACACGCTTGTCGGCTTTTCTCTTTTCCTTTTATCTTCCTGATTACCTTTACTGACACCCGCCCCGCCTTATCTGTTCTTGCGGTCCAGTTTGTTACCGTCAGTATTTGAATAGTGCAGCTTAGAATGATGAATCCAAGGGATTTGGAAGGAACCGGTAACCGAGGTACTATTCCACAACTTGCCTGGCGAGACTAACATGAAAATCCTCAATTAGAACAATGTTCCAGCCGAGATTCGAACCGAGCGTCCCCCGAGTATGAGCCAAAATGGTTACCGCTACGTTAACCTGCTCGGTTCTGTCTCCTCTTTCTTTCTTCTGGTTTTCCTTCCTCATTTATTACATTATTGTTCTGTTTCTTTCTCTGTCCTTCGTCACTGTCTTTGCTCTGCTCCCTGCTCCAGTTCGTGGCACTCACGTCAACGCATGGGGTGTCACCGGCGTTTCGGAGTACCATGCTGCATGCATAGTCAAGTTGCAAGCGTAATTCGAAGAGTTCTCAATTTGCGGACTGCAGAGAGTGACCTGCCCGCAGAGGGCCCTGCTACTCTCTCTCTCTTACCTTGAACATGGAGACAACACGATCTTTCCAGACGTTGGTAGCTGTCCACCAGACCGTACGGCGTCACATCCTAGAAGACAGTATCTTCACGGTCACCGTCTTGATAACCTGGTATGTCGCCCGATGACAGAATAGCCAGTGAAATGATTTGCTCGGGTTCAGTTCGCCATCGCTATGTCTGGGGCAGATTAGCCTCCTATTCAGGTGGCACCGGGCGTAAGACGGTAGCAAAATAAAGCTCCATCTGATACCGAGGTTATGAAGTCCCGTGGTTGCTATATGTATCACCTGTTTCGGCATACTGAAACTCTGCATTCTGCCCACAGAGTGTATCTGTGTGCTCCGTATGTTTCTCACAATAAACAGAGACTGTTTCCCCAACAGCATTAACTGATTGGGCTTTGTAGCGGAGACGTAAAGTGTTTCCTGTGAGGTACGGACTGAATTGCTATATATTCTGCCCACACAGTGTATTTGTGTGTTCCGTATGGTTCTCACAATAAACAGAGACTGTTTCCCCAACAGCATTAACTAGTAAGGAAGTCTTCAGTTAAGAGTCACTTGGCACTTACCGCCGAGCAGTTCGTCTTGACGCCAGGCCCCTTGAGTCTCACGACCAGAGATTAAAGGGTTAAGGATACTTTGAGCGTTACCTCCGGATGGTGTTTAGACGTGAGTAAGAGTTATCTGTGTATCACATTTTGCTGCAAGGCTCACGGACACGGGTGTTGCATGGCCAGCGCCTCGATTGTTATGTTACACGCCTCACATCCGTCTTGGAGGAGTTGCCGTGCTGTGAGGCGAAGCTCAGGCCTGCAGTCTCGAGAGATATTGACTCTTTGCTTTCATACGTATAACAAACACAGTACAGCAGCTCTTTAGAATCTGACAGTTGCTCACTCACTCAGTAATTTCCCCTTATTTAATGGAACCAGAATTTTTATTACCATGTCCACGAGAGCCCGCTACTAATGTCTGTACGCAAGCAAATGAATTCAGTACATACGATCGCACCCAGTTTCTTACGTTCCATTCAGTATCATCCTTCCATCTATGTCTAGGTCTTACAAATAGTCTATTTTGCTTTTCAGACGAAAATGTGCTTAGTAACGAATTCGAGTCTAAGAAAGATGGAGGAAAGTACTAACTTCTTGTATGCAATGTAATATTGTAGTTCACCGACGTTTCGGAGGAATGTATTGATTATTGACTTTGGGGGAGGGTAACATCCAGTCTCCCTCTAGCACTCAGACATTTATGGGGTGGTTCATTTTTTATTCCCCTTCCTCTCATTGTTGCTTGGGCTCTTCGAGAGACTCTGCCTTAGCTAGAGCCAGAGCACTTCAGATTTCGCATAAGTGTACTGCTCCCATCTTCAGGGTCGAAGAGTATGCCAAGAAAGCAACCAGCAAGTAGCAAAAGGTAAGCAGAGCTGTTCCCTTGGCTTACTCTTGCACCCTGAAGACTGCAGCAGTACATTGCTGCGAAATATCGGTGAACTTATATCGGACTACACGGCGTCACAGTCCCCACTATGAAAATACTGCCTCGTGAGTAGGTCAGCTCCTTGCAGCGTCAGCAAATGCTGGGTTTCTGACATATACGGCGCAGGAAGGAAGGCCATGGTTACGAAATTGTGCTTTCGGCATTCGGACGAGAGCATTAACAGAATCTGGGTAACTCTTGGCTTCCGTCGAGACAGCAGACGTTTTCGAAAGAACCACACTGGCCTATTTGTGAATATGCATGCCCGCAATGCAACCAGACCTGTAACAGTTTCTACGTTGTTAGCCCCTTAAGGCACAGCGATATCCATATGTACCAACCGAGCACGCTGGCTTAAGCAGTAACACTTCTGACCTGTAATCGGAAGGTGCCTGGTTTGCATCTCGGCCGGGGCACCGACATAGTACCTCAAATTAGGTCACGACCGCTTCCTTATACACAATTTCGAATTCTTTATCCACTGATGGACCTGCAATTCGACGCTATACAATCTGAGATGTTGATAACGCAGATAAATGAAATATAAGCAAACAAAAATAAATGTAGGCTTAGCCATCACCTCATTTAATATTAAGGAACTCTGAATTTTGCTCACAAGGGTGTAGTATATTTATTGTATGGTTCTCACAATAAATACCAGTTATTTCCCTAAACAACGTTAACAAACTGGTCGTTGTCATCGAAAAGTAGTGTTTTCTTTGAGGTACGAACTGAATTGCTATATATTATTTAGGCGAACTTCAAGAGGTTACGCTGCTGTGTTTCGTAGTGTGAATATAATTAAAATATTATCTTTGGTCGCCAGGGACGCCCAACATTCACAGTCCGAGTAGATTCTACAGGGTTCCGACGATGGTGTATAATACCCAGACTTACTGGGTTTTGATTGAGGTTAGTTCTGTCTAAGAGACCCAACAGAGTACGTGTCTCCCACCCTCACCAGAGAACGTAAACAGATCCAATTTCCGAAACGTTTTGTTTTCTATTTCTAGGATACCGGACGATGGACATAGTCCAAAAACCCAGTAATTCTATGTATTCACAGTCCGACATAGCTCACTAATAAGTGGTGATACATTCAGTTAGTGCCAGTTGACATCAGTGGTGTGAAGCGTGCTCTGGTTCGATCTGTAAGTCTGTGGAGCTGCGTTTGTACTCATACCGGTGTGCCTACGTCAATCCTTGAAGGGTAATAAACAGGGCCAGGATTTTGATGATATGTCATCTTTTTTTCCTTGTATCCTATGCGATGCTCTTAAATATACAAATCTCGTATATGAGTTGTTGGTTACAGAAATGTAAATTTTATAGGTAATCTTTTGTCATTTTTTGACATTTTTAGGTTTAAGGTCATTTTTTTATTTTGGGGGTAATTTTTGGTAAATTTTTGGACTTTTAAAGGTATTTCTTGCCATTTTTGGCCATTTTAGGGAATTTTTCTTCATATGTTTTCTGAAATGTGAATAACATGGAAGCGAAGTGTTCTTTCTTTTCTCCTTTAGGTCATTTTTCTGGATTTTTTCGGCCATTTTATAGGTAAGTTTTTGAATATTTTCAGGTCATCAAAATCCGGGCGCTGTATGTTACATTTTTGGGTCATATTTTAGGTCATTTTCTGGTTTTTTTCGGTCATTTTATAAGCAATTTTTTAAATATTTTCAGGTCATCAAAATCCGGGCCCTGGTAATGAGGCAAGTGAGGACCTCTCTCGCTTGTTGAGGCGCATACAAAGTTGCGTTGAACTGGCTTTGACACCCCAGTATCGGAATGTTTGTATTATAGATAAATGCGCAAACCGCGTCTCTGTGTGTAGAGCAGTGGTCGCTGTCATGTTCATCTTCCTGACAACCTTTTCATCTTCCTTCTTTCCTTTGCTTGCTTGTTTCTTCGTGTGTTTGCTTCTTTTGTTCCTGTGTTTGATTAATCCTTCTATTTGTTTGTCCATCTTTAATTTTCTCTCTAATTTATGCGTTTATTTTATTCCTACTGCAAAGCGTTCTTCCTGGCGAACTTGACTGCAAGTAGTTCTGGTTTGTCGCTACTGCAGACTGCGTAGAAGTTGTAGATTTCTCTACCTTTAGCCTTGAATTCGTTTACCTTGGAAAACACTGAACACAGTCAACTCACAACTATTATATCATGTTCAGGTGTCAGTTCAGCAGCTCTGATTGAGTGAATTCTCATCACAATTTTCATACAACTATTCGGCATAATCAATATCAAGATACAGGGTCGCTCTTGAACAGAAAATTCCCTCCTATAGGTTCAGCAACGTCATCACAGAGGCAGCGACTATTCCACATCCTGATCCGGTTCAATCCAGTTAACTACAAGTGAATAATTCATTCTCATTTTGCTGCAGCTGTTGCCATTGAAAAATTTTAAATTACAATAATTTAAGCGTTGCAATATTTGTAAGAATGTGCATATATGTACGTCTTGGTATGTGTTCAAGAGCATTGTCTTTACCCCATTAAGACAGTCTTGTGAGATTGTCCTATGACAGACTCATATTTATGGGACATTTTCGTAGTTGCAGTTGAACTCATCGCAATGCACTTAGTACTGACAGTTGCCAACGGCCTTCTGTGAAACAAATGGAAATTTCATATGATTGTTAGAGTGAAAATCTCATTAAGCAAGGTATTGGTCGTGCCCTTCAAAATTTAAGGACAATTCTTAATTGGATGTTACGACGGATCCCAATAAAGAATTGTGTATAATAAACACAACAGGATGCACCCAATGGAAAAAAAAATAAGGGCATGGATTCCATGAATGAAAATTTGCCACGTACTGTACCGAGCGCAAATGTTTGACAAAGCAACGTAATAACCCCGACTCTTCACACAGCTGTAGTTTATTCTATGGTGTGATGTTTCATTCTTTTTCTCTTTATGCGATTCGCAACCTTGTACAACGGCAGAGCAGTACTCTTCACCAGTTCTTGTTTACGTTTTGCGATTGGCTGGTTAAAGAGGCGAGGCTAGGGCCAGTTCATAACCTAAACATCTGATTGGCTGGCATCTCGCCAACCCGTCTAAACTGTTTATGCAAACAACAGCGATACTTTTCCAGCGATAATAAACCAGGATGTACGTCATGCACGTGCGAAGGTCATTGTTATCATCGTGCAGCTATCGCCACTTGAATAGAGTGCCATCTACCGGCACAAGATCGAGTGAGTAGCTCGGCAATGCAGGTCTCTGTTTCGTGGACTGCGTTGTATTCTCATGCAAATCGTCAAGAAGGAAAACCAAGGTAGAACTTCGGAACAGGTTTCTGTATTACTTATGATGTCATCATGTTTGTGCATTTGTGTATCCTTTCTCTCTTTCCCCAGTATAACATTTCATTAAGCTGACGTTTTCAAATAAAATCTAATGTGGCTGTCAAGGCGTAACCTACCTTATTATTTTTATCTATCACTAACAGTAAAGGTAATACCGGGTCTGGTCAAGTGGGATTTGTAGTGGACAAAGTGGCGCTGGGGCAGGTTTTCTCCGAGTACTTCGGTTTCCCCTGCCAATCTTCATTCCACCAATGGTTCCACAATCACCCCCACCTATCATCTGGGGCTGGTACAATAGGCCAGAAGTGGCCGCAGTACAAGGGACTTAGTCCCACCCCACTAGCAATAAAAAAAACAGTAAAGGTAGAAGGTCGGGCGAACTTACGAGATGTTAGGAACTCCAGTAACATTTATTAAAAGCTTTTGAAAAAAGAATATGAAACTTTTGTTGATGTCATTTTTGTGTGGAACGTAGCATAATCGGTACACGATACTGGTGTTTAATTTTTATTTCTGTTGAGGACACATCACCAATGCTGAAGTGCAGTCCTCATGATTCAGTCATGTACTTTTCACTGTCAACCGATGTCCCTTAGATTACTTAATTTTATCATTTTTTTTTGCTAGTGGGGTGGGGCTAAGTCCCTTGTACTACGGCCACTTCTGGCCTATTGTACCAGCCCCAGATGATAGGTGAGGGTGATAGTGGAGCAATTGGTGGAATGAAGATTGGCAGGGGGAACCAAAGTACTCTGAGAAAACCTCCCAGCGCCACTTTGTCCACCACAAATCCCACTTGACCAGACCCGGGATCGGACCCGGGCCGCCGTAGTATCATCTCCTTGGTCGACTGAGCCTTAGAATCTAAGGGACCATTTCTTCCAACAGTGTTCCCTATTATTTCTTGTTTTCCGTTCGCTGTCCTAACTACATGTTTAAAAATTACAAACAATCGAAATCTGGATATTCATTCATTCATCAGTAATCTGTCAGACGACAGGTCCACAATCTCTTCCAAAACAGTTCCTCCACTTAATGCGATCTTCTGTTTTTGGAAAGAGACTATCCAGGAAAAGTGATAATGTGGTAGTTTTTCCATTTGCTTTCCACATCGCAGTACAGCAGCCGTTCAAACCACTCTGGTCACGCCTGTTGCTATACGAACTTGAACCATCTCGAGCATCATTTGTTCTGTGCTTCAAGTCGCTACTGATGACGCTGCTTCCGGCAGCGTCTGATGCCTACCCTTTGACCTGTCCAGCAAGGGAGGCCCTGCCAGTAGCTACGCTGCCGCTGGTATAGCTCTCAGGGTCCTTTTAGATAAAGTAATGGAAAGCGACTGTCTTCGCTCGCTCGGAAGCCGGGATCGTGGGTTCGAATCCCACTCAGGGCATGGATGTTTGTGTTCGTTTTTCTTTGTTTGTCTATAGGTAGAGGCCTTGCGACGAGCTGATCACTCGCCCAAGGAGTCCTACCGTATGTGTAAGATCGAGAAAAACCGAAGTGAACGGAGTTCATGGAGGTAGGCCTAGGTCCACTGGGGCTGTAGTGCCAGGGGAAAAAAAATGGAAAGCGAGCGGAAATTATGTCCAAAGATACTGGGAACGAATGAACGAATGACAGATAAAATTCAGAATTATACTATAAGCGTGGTTGGAACTCGGGAAAAATTAATTTATAAACCGGCTGACAAGTACCTGTGGGCCTTTTGGGGACGTACCATCATGTAAATTGTGGCTGGCCAGAATGGCATTGGTAAGACGCAATGTTAAGGATATACACTGATGTAGTCTGTAGTTTGTGAAATGCATGCCATGTTGCCCTCAGGGACGTTCAAGTATTCTCACACCTATACGCCATACATGCTTGGTACCAACTTCTAAATTAAGATTCGTACACTAAATCCCATACTGTTTATTCTGTACTCTGTAAGAATACTGGCAGAGTAGGAAGTCTAAATTATTCTCATTCTATATAAAAACACGGTGATGTTTCCATATCGGTCAAAGTCAATGTGATTGACACGAGTATAACCACGGATCGAATTTAAATGGACTAGGCCTACACCGACATGCATGTTTTTGTCTCCCTCTCTTTTGGAGCACGTTGCTTGCATGATGTAATTTCCGACAGCAAAGTGTTGGATGTTTGCCTTAATGTCATCCATAAATTTAAACACGTTATTAATAGACTCTGATAACATGTCCCTCATCAGAAATATTTAAATACAATTTCTAGACCCTTTTAATAGAAATAATTAATAAAGGAAAATGATAAATATGCACATTAAACGTTAATATTTATACGTTAACATTTGACGTGTTAATAAGCATTGCAGAGACAAATTACATTCCATTACTGTTGGTGGACCTGCTTTCAAACATGGCCAAAATAAGTTGGTACACTTTGAAGGTTATTAGATGGCGGTTACCGTAGAAGCGTGGGAACGGGTCAAAGCCGAATTCTGTAGAAATTAAGCTAGCGTTCTAAACTGTCATTCAGTAATTATATTTATATAAAATGTTGAATAAATGTTTTGTGTTCGTACAGCTGTTAACGAGTGACATGCTCTAGACGCTAAAAACTGTGATGAATCCCTGGCCGGTAAGATCTTGTCTTAGAACGAGGTTGGTTGTACGTGTGTGTTTTATTATGTGAAATATTTCATTCTAGGTTTATAATCTCTCAGCGAGAGGATAACATTGGACAAAAGAATTAGGTGTGCCTGAAATGTGTGTCAAGGTTTCAGAGAAGCATTTTTCAGAAAATACGTCAGCAAACAAACAGCATATATATTTGAAAGTTGGAAGGACAACTAATTTCCTTCTGTTACTCAGTTTGTTTGCGGGCATTGATTTCTCTTGTGTTCATCATGTATGAACTGAACAGAATGTTGTGAATATATATACACAGTCTAAGTTTAAACTATCATTATTTGGTACTGAAAATTATTTTCATATATATTATTTTGCTTTTATGTTCTTTTGCCTTTAGTTCCAGATTACTTCACGAGGTCCAAAGCTGTGATAAAGTCAGAGCCCCTATATTAGTATTTACATACATACATAATTCATAAATTCACTGATCCATTGTCCGAATTGGACCAGATATTGAACTCGTCAAAATAAGACTTGATTGCAGAAGTACAATCGTGTCAACAGCAAACAACCACACACAACCAAAATCACCAAATAACCATAATTTACATTGTCATTCATAAACAGAATTACAAGGAATATAGATATTAAATATTATAAATGCTTAGCAGAAATATATTCATCTATTGAATAAAAAGCATTTGTTGTGAGGAATCTTTTCAGTGTGTGTTTAAAAATCTTCACATTATCACTCATACTTTGTATATTTTGAGGAAGATTATTATAAATCATAATGGATGAATATAACACGCCTCTCTAGATTGTAGATAATCTCACTGATGACACATGTAACTTTCCAAACTGTTTAGTGTTTATATGATGAATATTATTGTCGGTTTGAAAAAAAATTGTGATTTCTAACAACAAACATCAATATAGAATAGATATGTGGGCTAGGAACCGTAAAAATACCCAACCTCTTATAACCTTCTCTACACGAGTTTCCAGGACTCAATCTCAGCATAACCTTAATCGCTCTTTTTTGGGCAACAAATAAACTTTTCATAACTGGAGAAGAACCCTAGAATATAATACTATATTCAAGCTGAGACTGATAATAAGAAAAATAGACCATTTGAAGAGCTTGTTCACTAACAAGGGATTGTAACTTCCTGAGCATAAAACACACTGTATTCAGTTTCTTTAATAATTTTTCAGATTGTTTTTTCCAATTAAGTTGACAATCTAAATACATACCTAAAAAATTAACATTATCAACATCTTTAAGTCTAAAATTATTATATGGAGACTTAGGAGTCACAAATTTAATCAGGTGAGTTTTACTCAAATTAAGTACCAGATTGTTATTTTGAAACCAGCTTGAAACCCTAGTCATAACTCTAATTTAATATTCAAAGAGTTTAGGTCATTTGAGGTAATTAAAATTGTTGTGTCATTTGTGTACAAAATAGTATGTGCTATTCTTAAGAATACCTGGGAAATCATTAATATAAACATTAAACAACATTGGTTCCAGGACAGATCCTTGGGGAACACCAAACCTTACAGATTTCCATTCAGAGATTGTAGTAGTCAGATTACAAGTATGCAGCACAACTCTTTGCATTCTGTTTTTTAAATAAGTCTCCAGCCATTTCAAAATGGGCCCTTTGACTCTATACATCTTCAACTTTTGAGTCAACAGATCATGACTAACACAATCTAAGGCCTTTGTCAGATCACAAAAAATACCTACCACAAACTCCTTATTGTTCCATGCTTTAAGAACAGCATCAGTTATATTAAAGACTGTATTTTGTGTAGAAACATCCTTACAAAAGCCATACTGCTCAGGAGCCAGGATATCATTTCTTATAAAATGCTGTTTAAGCCTGCTAAACACTAATATTTCAAATAATTTAGAGAAACTTGTCAGTAAAGATATTGGTCTATAGTTGGCAATTTCAGTAACACCACCTTTCTTAAAACATGGTATAATATTTGCCAATTTCAGTCGGTCAGGACATATGCCCGAACTTACAGAGAGNACGACCTCCGCCGGGTATTTGAACCCGCGTACCATGAGTCATGAGGTGGGAATGTTACCTCTAGACTACGGAGGCCACTTAAATATAAGTAAGTGGTTTTGCTATCTGTTCACATAATTTAATCATATTATTTGACAACCCATCATATCCACAAGAAGATTTATTTTTTAATGAATTTATCGTGCTTAATACTTGTGCCTCGCCACAGTAATTTGGAATATTTACAATTTCAGAAATCTTATCTGTAGAGTACGCACAAATGATAGAAACGAAATATATGTCTGTGTATGCAGAACTTAATAAATATGTTGCTTGGCAACAACCACAAAGTAAGGAGCGATTTTGCGTCCCAGTTTGAATTTCATTGTTGCCACTGTGCATATGTGTGTTGTTTTCATGATTCCAATCTGACAAGATGCAGTCAGCTGTTTTACAAGAACATTTTGTTGTCTCGTGTGTGATTTTTCTCTTTGATATTTTGAGGTCTCACAGATTAGCTTGTTTATGTGTATGTAAATCAGGCATTGACTGCCTCTGAACAATGTGAAGCCTCAGTACTATGTTAAAGAAATAACAGGAATTTTTTGTTGTGTTGTAAGAGCTGTTATGTAGGTCTGTCATTTGTAGTGAGATGAACTCAGGACAGTTCATAATAATTTAACAGCCAGACATGTTTTGTTTTAATATCTTTCAGTACTTATTTAACTTTTTAGAACTTGACGTGCTAGTATATTTGACTGTTGAGGATTATATTACAAGATATTCATGAATACATTTATTCAGGTAGGCAGTATGCAGAGTATGGAGAGAAGTAGACTGAACTCTTGATGATAACACATATTTCTCCCATCGTTACTAATATATATATATCCAGTGTTGAATATGTCTCTTAAACAAGAACAGCGAGTTTCATCATTTTGAGGGACAACTAACATATGCAGATACTGCTAACAATATTAATAAGAGCTTTCGCGATGGACTGTGTCAGAAATGGCTTCTAGATTATGTATGTGGAAAATAGTTCAAACATTAATGTCTGTTTTCATTAAAGACTTTGACATGATTAGACCAATCAGCAAGAATTAAAAAAAAAAAGATGAAGTAGGCTGTAGAGTTGTGTCTCTACAACTTTTCTGCTAATATCTGTGAAATGTCATTACTAACCCCAAATTTTCACAGAACTCAGCAAAACAATAAACTGAAATGTGGGAACTGAGTTTGAGCTAACCTAACACAAGTTATGATTGTGATGGTTCTATTGTCATGACTCAGATAGCGGAGTCTTTGGATTTGTGATAATGCTATGGTTAGCGTTATAGCCACGTCCTTACACTGAGACAGTGGGCAGAAGTCCCGTGGTTGCTGAGTGTAATAAGGTTAATCAAGCTGCATGTTGTACTTTTCACACGTGATCAGCCGAACGCCGGTGTTTAGTGGGTAGCATGCCTTCATTTTTTGAGATGTTGGGTTCAAATCTAGGCTGAGACACCAGTTGTCCTGGCTCAGATGCTTCATGGCTGCACTTTCGGTTCAGGAGTTTCTGGCTACAACTCTTGAACCAGAGAATAGGTATTGGTAATGAGTTTTCCATGGTTTTCCTCAGTCCCTCCAGGAAGATTTTAGGATATTACCTGAGATTAGGCCATGACCACTTCTGCATCTTTTTCAGTTCACCAATCACTAATTGCTATGTCATTAGCTGTGTAGTTGTAGCTACTGACCATCATTAAAGAAACTATAAAAAGATACATTTGTAAATTCTCGTATCTGAAGGGTGCTATTTTTGGGGTGTGCCATACTACACGTCACATCCCAGTTCATAGTTGCGACTATGAGAATGTCAAGTCTTACACTCATGATTCTGTCTCTGTTTCAGATAAGGGGGTGATGCTTCATACTGCGACAGTTTGCACAGAAGATGGATGCAAGATACGCTCTTCCAGTTTTAATTGGTTTGACTGTGACAGGGATTTCAGCTGCTTATTTGGTGTACTTACTTCTCAGAAGGGTGAGGGCAGTTGTGACAAGTTTGTAACATTACAGTTCTTATGGTTCGGGTCAGTAGCAGTAGTCCAGTACTAAAGATCTCGTAACAGGTTTTATGTTAGCCACTGATCAGTGTTCACTGCTTAGATATTCTTACTGAGTCAGTTAACTTCATCACGATTCATTCATTTAACCAGTTTGCTGATTATTTCTCCTGATTATATATATATATATATATATATAATGCATCAGAGAGATGAAAGCAATGATATTTTGCAGTTTAGGTAACTGTAGGAACACATTATTAAGTATTAATGTGTTTGCATGAACAAAAGTTATGTAGTAGGTCATGAAAGAGTAAGCAGTCTTTTGTTTTAGTCTATCTTGTGTGTTTTGCAAGTACTGATTCTGGTTATGCCACATGTAATGTACTATATATAGGAGACTGTATATGATTGGGTGCTTGTGCATCTTATGGGAGGTGGCATTGAATGCCAACCCCTACATGTCATTTGATGACCTGTAGCACAGGATAGCCATGTGGGAGATAGAGGCAACCAAAAGTACAGAAGCTTACATGAGAAAGGGTGAGACTTCCCAGTGAATTCTGAACAGGGGTTACCTTATTCCTCTTATAAAGGAAACACTCATTTAAGATTACTTTGCGGAACAGTGGATTTCCTTACCAAATTCAGGAAAACTTAAATGGAGGAAAGTTAACATTGAGGCAGTTGACTTGGGATGACTGAAATTAAATATTAAATGAAGGGAGACCTTAAATTGAGGAATATTTAATGCAGGTTCCACTGTATGTCTTTGGTTGTTAACATCACTTTATCAATTGCATAACCTTGCGCAACATTCAGAATGAGAATCTGCCAACACTTCCAGATGTACAAATGGATATCTTCCCGAAATCTAACATGATGATAAACACCCTCCCCAGTTTGGAAATCAGATCCTATTTGCACGGCTTGTACCCAGTCACTTTCTGACTGAGCTATCCTGTAAAGTAGGCTAATGCAGGCACATTAATATTAATGATTGTGGAAAAGAATGCTTATGCTGTGGCTCCTTTCAGGATGAAGATGATTTCAGTGCTTACATGCAGAGGGTTAGAACTTCGCGACCTGCAGTGATTGAAGTCAAAATTCCTAAGGATTGTGTCGGTGTTGTGATCGGTCGTGGCGGAAACTCTGTTAAGGACATTCAAGAGAAAACTGACACAAGAATAATGTTTAAAGATGAATGTAAGCATTTTTGTAGGCATAGGTAGAAAACACATTAAAATTAATGTTACAAAAATAGGATGGTATGGAATGGATTCATCTGGGTCAGGATGCCAGTCAGTGATAGTCCTGATGAACATGGTAACAAACAGGTTCCACAGAAGGAGGAATATTTATTGAGCGACTCAGCTTGTTACAGAAGACTGTAATCTTAAATGTGATCCAGGAAGATTGATGTGCATTCCAAAGAATTATTGCCGCAAGAGCAGGTAGTGCTTTGTGTCAAGTGGTAAAAGATATGTTCCCACCCCAGAAGTTCAAATTGTTGACATTATTAACGGTAGAACATAGAGACGTGTAGAGCAGGATTGCATCTAGAGGCATGATGCTCATACCAGTTTTTATACAAATTCATTGAAAGTTGTTAAGGGAGGCAGATATGTGGGTATTACAATTTGTTGTCTTCTGGAATGTGATGCCATCTTCAGAGCAGAAGGGTGAAGATGGAGGCAGCAGCTTCCCTAAGAACATAAGTACCTCTCTACCAAAGTTTGCTTTTCTTCACTTATGGAAACAAAATATCTTAGTTTGAGCTAAGTGCAGAAACGTAGACTCCACCGTGGAACACAGTTTTACCTCACACTCACAAAATGGATTCCTGAAAATGGTTCATCAGTCAAGTTAATTATAATATGGAACACAGCTCAGGGCTGAGACCCATTTCTTCAGTATTTGAACTCTGGTTATGCTATAATTCTATTGGTTCAATTTTAAAACCAATAGAGGGACATCAAATACCATATAATTAAATATTTATACTATTGCCAGTGTTAAGAATAAGTTAATTAGTATTGTGACGTGTTGCGCTATGCAGGACACTCGTTCACTGCTGAGTGGAGAACTGTCTTAGGCCGCTGATACACTTTAACTTCTGACACCAAATTGTCGCGTGTCTTGGGTTTATAACGCGACAGATAACTTCACGCCTTAGTGCATATAGTGAATTTTATTCCACATTCGCTCTTACAATCACCCAAATTACAGATTCACAGTTACTGCTATCTGCAGTATCACAAATACTGTACTGCAACTAACTGCTGGCTTACTCGGAACTCTCCGCTGGCCAGATTGAGAACTCTGTTGATCCCACACTGGCTCGTAGGCTTGCTCGGAACTCGTAACTAGAGAACTCGAGAACTGACTGTAAATAGTCTTCGCTGCTCCGTATCTAGCCTCGTTCCAGACAACTCAGGAAACAGCCACGTAATAGGCACCATGTTGTCTGGCGCCATGTTGCTAGCAATGCTCTCGGGAGTTGTTTACTGCTTCCTAGCAACCGCGGTATCCCTCGGTGACGTCACCGCTGGCGGGGTGGGCGAAGGAGCGTTGACTTGCCCGTTACCTTAGTAACGACAGCGATCCAATAGCGTTACGTAACTGCTGGCTGGGGGAGGGGTGTCCTGCATAGTGCAACACGTCACAGTATTTTACCATGGATTCTATCCACCAAAGCATTTACAAACTTTATAAAAATAACATTTTATCAACATCTGACATCTCCATCGTCTTGTGTAAGTCAGACAGGAGAGCTCTGCCTTGGCAGAAGGCCCTGGAAGAATGGTCACAGGGTACTGTTTTGTAGAAGCTGTCCAAGTTCTGAAATTCAAGTTTTGAGCTGTAAACCCCCAAATTGGAAGCATAAGCTTAGTGGGTGTCATTTTAATGGGATCATGAGATGGTAAGCTGTAGGTTAAGGTATGACTCCACATTTTTCCCGGATCCATTCTTTGCAGTATTGCAGGCTGCACTGGCTTCAGCTTTCATTCACTTGAAATACAAATCTTTCATCACTAAGCTGATTACTGTATGAATAACACATACAGCATAGAAATAAAGCCAAAATTTACCTTTTTCATATTTAAATATTTGTTGTACTGAAAAATACTTAGATTATAATGGGCCCTATGTTTCATGTCATGTAAGTTTTTTATGTGATGAACCATTCTTGAAAAAATTTGTTGCTCTCAGTTTTTTTTTTCCATGTGTAATTCGTGTTGTTTTCTCCTTCAGTGGGAAACGATCAGTATCGAATTTGTGTCATTCAGGGCAATCGAGAAGGCGCACAGCTTGCAGAGTCCCTTATTCACGACATCATCTTGAACCAGCCTCTGATTGAAAGCCATGAGATGTTTGTGCCACAGGTATATTATGATATAAATTGTTGAAGAAAGCAGTCTTCTCAGATGTGGCACCGTGTAGATGTGGTGTTAATCGACGTTTCGGAGGAACGTATCGCCTCTATCTTCCAACACCAGTCTGCTCGTACCAGTTCTTACAGTCTCTTCGCTTGTGGATTATTTATTGTTCCTTCTACCCTGAAGATGGAGGTGATACATTCCTCCGAAACGTCGGTTAACACCACATCCACACGGTGCCACATCCCAGAAGACTGCTTTCTTTATAGTTACTGTTGTGAAAGCCTGAAATCTTACATTAAATTGTTGTTTACCAGAGGTCCTCAAACTCTTTGATAGCATGGTGGCATAAAAGAAATACATCTAGTTACACACAGTCTGCCAATCAGTGAGAAGTTCAGTTATGCCCAATGTTACTGGTCCCTATCAGGCTGTACAGTGACATCAGGGACCTAAACAGCTTAATAACGTGTCTGTACCTGCAGTGAACCGTAAAATGTTCATGTACGGTACAAAAATTTTTAAAAATGTTTCTCCAGTTGCCACTGCATTTTCTAAAAGCACCTGTATTAAGTCTCACTGATTTACCAAATGGGATGTGGATACAACTGTATGGCCTCTCTTTAGAATAGGTCATGACTTGGCCCACAGTTTGAGAAATAGGTCATGACTTGGCCCACAGTTTGAGAAACATAGCTACATACTAATTTATACAAACGCATGTATCATTTGTAGCATAGGTTTCATTCCGTATGACGTGACATCACAATTGCTTGTACATTTACTGGGGCTTGTGTTAAGAAGATGGTGATGTTGCAACATGGCAGGCTGTGTGTTAGGGCACAGGTCACAGATTAGTTGCATTGCCCACCACACCAGGGCCTTCAGTTCACTGTGCTTAACTAGAAGGGCATCTCACTCAGCATATCCAGGTTTGGTCCCAGGCCAGTCTATGTAAGGTGGTATGGGGCACCTTTTTGTTTGAGCACTCTTTTTCATCTCCAATTGTCATTGCAGAGTGCTTCGTTCTCATTTGCAGTGCGGCCATCTTAGACCTTTCAGCAGATGACTGGCTTAACACATTGCATATAAACTGTATACACTTTATGGGAGATGCTGGACATGCAGCCGGTTGTCGTCATCAGGAGAATGTTGAAGCTTAGCATCGAGTCCCTTGTTAGTGGGTGTGGTCAGATCACACAGTGCTCACTGAAAGAAATTGATGCTGGACATGAATATTCTCCCCAGGAGGCCATCAGGGATCTTGCACAGGAGATGGGGGTTCAAAATATACTCTATTTCTGAAAATGAACTACAGTATAAGAATGTAAACTTTTTATACAGGTGCCAGGAATGTGTGCATAGTGACAGAGCATTTCCTGCATCTGCTGTAATCTGGGTGTTTTGTGTTTGGTCTTTGTTAGGCCATTGGCTTTTTCTTTTTGCTAGCAGTGTATATTTCTGTGGTGTAACTAGATGGGAGGAGGAGTGTTTGTCACTTCCACCTTAGGAGCTCACTGATCTGCTGGTGGCTCTGAGATGACTGTGCTGTATTTTTGGAGCTGGTACGGTAAGCCCATTTGAGGCCACACTACAAAGGAGCTATTTACTTTTACTTTCATGGCCGCACCATAGCTCAAGTGGTTAGTCTCTGGCTTCGCACTGCGGTGGCCCAGGTTCGATCCCGGGTCTGGTCAAGTCATGGACAAAGTGGCGCTGGGGCAGGTTTTCTCCGAGTACTTTGGTTTCCCCTGCCAATCTTCATTCCACCAATTGCTCCACAATCACCCTCACCTATCATCTGGGGCTGGTACAGTAGGCCAGAAGTGGCCGCAGTAGAAGGGACTTAGTCCCACCCCACTAGCAATAAAAAATACTTTTACTTTGCAGCGTGCATGTGGGAGAATAATAGGAAGAAATGGAGATAACATTCGCAGCATCTCTCGAGCTTCCAATGCAAAGATCATAGTGGAGGGAAGCAGTGGTGAAGCAAGAGAGTTTGGTAAGTGAAGTTTAAGTGTAGAAAGCCATAACAATGCCTTTTATAGGTAAGTAGGGGTGAGTGAACCTCGCAGGGTCAGTTCCACTGAAGAAGTCATCCTGTGTTCCGTATCTGTAGTAGTGGTAGAATGGGGAGGCCTTGCAACCTCACTGCACAGATACGTCAGTTCAGTAACGAGTAGGTACACTTCTGAGATACGAATAATGATGCCGAGAGAAATTGTTTGTGGGCTAGAACTGGTCAGGGGGATTAGGTTTTTTTCTTGAGGGGTGTTGATCCTAAAATTTTTCACTTAGTGGGGGGTGGAGTCCAACTGGGTCCACTCAGCATGATGGCCACTTATTGGCCTATTGTAGCCTGCCCTGGGTGATTATGATGGAGAGTTTGGTGGAATGAAAATTGGCAGGGGAAACCGAAGTACTCGGAGAAAATCCGCCCCAGTGCCACTTTGTCCACCACAAATCCCACTTGACCAGATTCGGGATTGAACCCGGGCTGCTGAGGTGGGAAACCAATGGCTAACCGCCTGAGCTATGGTGCGGCCTGGTGTTGATCCTAAGCGAGGAGCATCATTTTGGTGTGCAATAAAAATTATTTGGTCTCTGGGGTTGGTGTAAAATTGTCATTCTAGAAATTTGAGTGTGTCCATGACTGTTTTAATAACAGTGAGGTTATGTATGATTTATTTTAGGGCAGTCCCAGTATCGTAGGCTGTGTAACATGAATTGTTAGAATGACAGATGAATAGGGAAGGATTTGGAATTAACTCTTTGAGGCCTGATAGAGGTAGTGTGTGGCAGTTGCTTGGAGGGACTAAAGAAAACCACAGAAAAAGGGCAGCCTGGGCCCCTGCCATGATTTGAACCGAGCATCTTCAGAGTGTCAGGCAGGCATTGCAGCCACATCAGACTGCTTGGTAAGATCTATATGAAAAAGGGATAAAGGATTCTTCGCAAGACATTTTAGACTACAGGTTAGAGAATATTATGTTAGTAACTTTGATCTCAGATGATGTCTGGAAAACAGATGAAATATGTTCGGCACTGGGCAAGCAAAATAAGATGTAATATAGATGCCAGGTCTGTTGCATTTGTTTTACTTTTCTGTCGTCTCATAGTTGCAGCTCGCAGAGTAATAATCAAGGGAACGACTGAACAGATTGCACTGGCCAAGTCACTGATTGAAGAGAAGGTGATGGAAGATATCGAGGTGAGAGAGAAAATTCACGAGAGTCTGGAAAAACGGTCTCCCCGTAAGAAGACAGGTCCACAGTACCTCATGTTAGCTGATGCAGTTGAGGTGAGTTGGATCATATCAAGGATTCTGTCACCTGTTCTTTCATAATTCTGTTAGGCTCTTGTGACACTGCATGGCCCTTGAAATCTATTTAAAAAGGCCTAAAGGTTACTCTACCTTACTGATGTAGGTGGGATGATAATATTAAAATGGATCTTAAATAAATAAGATATGTGGTTGTGCACTGGATTCAGCATCCTCAATGGGTATTTGTAATTCAGTGGCTGGAGAGTGAGCCTGCAGTTTGCATAAGAGGCAAGGGAATTTATTGATCAGCTGAGCAACTGCAGTATGCATCTTCTACCGACTGATTCTATAGTCTGATTAGAGCCTGTACTGTATTGCAGGACGAGCAGACACAGCGGCATAATACTGAATGTTTGCTGGACACAGGAAAGGATGGGTTCCTAGAAGTGTATGTTTCAGCAGTGGAGCATCCTGGCCGTTTCTGGGTACAGGTAAGTGAATGCAGTATTTTAGAAGAGTGTACCATTGATTCAGGCCTCTAAGCTTTCATAAGTGAAGTAAGTGTTGTGAGTGCCACAACATGGTATTCTCTGATAGGGATTTCTAGTTCACAGAGAGCTAAGCAGAACCTTTATGTGTTCTAAGGTTCTAGTGTAGTTGGAACATTATGCTTTCATATCTTCTCCCCTGAAGATGAGCCCACAGATTCCTTGGAAATCTTAGCAGCTGTCTTATCAGACCATTTGGCTTCATGTCGCAGAAGATTGTATTCTCATATGTCTTGGATTCATATAGTTTCAGATTGTATGTTTGTTCAATGAAATCTCCATGTAATATTAGACAGAATGTTTTCCTGATATATGTTCAGTGAGTTACGTTCAGGACAAGCGCAGAAATGAGCATAGGCCTTCATGTAAAGGGTTGTTATTGTCCATAACTAAACCTGGAATGTGTTGGAAAAATATTGGTGAAACTTTCCACTTTCAAATTTAATGGATATCCATTCAGCAGCTCTTAAGTTGATGCATCTGGCAGACAGACGGGCAGGCACTTGGCGAAACTAATAAATTTGGTTTTTGCATGTTGTCATTGCAAATGTACAAGAAATATTTTCACTATTCATACCATCACCACAAACTACACATTTACTTTCATCAAGGTTATGTTCATCCAGCTTCAAACTGCAGTTTCCTTGGTAATGTAGGACCAACAAATCTGAAACCTGTTGTAGGGGTCAGAGCACTGTGTTTGAGTTAACATCTTGGGATCTCTCCCCCACCCTTCACCAAGTATTTTTGGTGTGAGGTTCTTACAGTGGTGACTATGGGATGTGATGCCATGTAGTCTGGCAGGACTTTACTGGCATTTTTATGTCACATGGCTTTTGTTTGTTTCAGGTTATAGGCCCCAAAGCTGTTGAACTTGATCACTTGGTGGAGGAAATGACTGAATTCTACAAGCAAGAGGAAAATCGTGAGTGCCACACTCTCAGAGAGGTACAGGAACAGTGACATTGTTAATTGAGCACTGAGGTGGCTGCAGACAGACACACACACACACACACACATTCATACACCGATATACACGTACATCTGTATTGTTCATTGAATACCTGACAATTCATTACCTGCATCATGAAGTGATGGTGAGACTTGTTATGTAAGCTACAGTAACGTGAACTCTGTAGTGTAGTTCCCTCACTACCTTTGCTACTGCTTGAAACAGCAACAGTTTAGACATAGAAATAACACTCTAGACCAGTGTGCCGTCCAACGTTCTTATGTACTCGGGCACAATTCACTGATGCCTATGGAGGTGTGGGCATCACCACACACTACTACTACTACTACTACTAATAAAAAACAACAACAGCAACAACAACAACAATAATAATAATAATAATAATAATAATAATAATAATAATAATAATAATAATAATAATAATAATAAAATTTTTCGAAAATATTTAACAGTACTCAGACGTTCAAAAATGTCTCTTGTCTTACAATTTGAATTACTATTAAAAATCGGCTCAATTATATGTGGTTATGGAGGGCGCCAGAAAAATATACCACTGGCGCCATGGCGCCCGCGGGCGTCGCGTTGGACAGGGCTGCACTAGACTCATATTCAGGGAGTGCTTGGTTTGAATCTCAGCCAGGACATAGGCTATCCTGACAGTTTTTTTGTTTTCCTCAGTCCCTCCAAACAAATCTGAGCACAGTGCCTTAATTAGGCCATGACCAGATCCTTCCAAATTCTCTCCAGTTCATCTGTCATCTTGACATTTGATGCTGCATGTCTAGCTACTGACAGCATTGGTAAGTAACAGACCAAAAACAAAACCAAATATTTGCCAAGGTGAAGGTGGAAAGAATCTTTTGAAATATGCCCTTGTGCCAAAGCATTGTGTCCTGAAGATATATGCTGGATCTGGAAGTGTAGTTGCATGTATTCTAAACCTAGCCAGTAGTCAGATGTGCCTCAGGAGACTCTTCCCCTGAGAAAAGAGCTTCCCTGTGTCCACTGATAGAGCCCATAGTCATGCTTGACGTGCTCTTGCAGCAATTTGATGTTGAACCTGAATTTTGCTTGTTTAGGTGGTGGTGGACCAGCTGGTGGCAGCTCCATACAGCCATGATGACAAGTGGTACCGTGCCAGAGTGACGGGGGTGACACTGGATGACTATGCAGCTGAAGAGAGCCAGGTATCCCTGTACTACCTTGACTATGGAGACTCTGATACATGTCAAAAGAAACAGCTTTGTTCCCTGAGGGCTGACTTTTTGAAGCTGAGGTACCAGGCCATTGAATGCTCCCTTGCGAAGGTGAAACCAAAGTGAGTACTTTTTTCTTATCTTCAGACATGAGTGATACTGTTTTCAAGGTACAAAATGTTTTTGGTATGGTAGAAAACCACTGTACATTTTGGGAGACCATAGTATAGATGTGAAGATACTAGGGCAAGATTGTGCAAATCACCAAAAAAATCAGTTCAGATCATGATGGAGCTGTTAAGGTTCGCATGTTTCTGTCTTTCGACATGTAATAACTGAAGAATAGATTTTCATGAAATTTGGGGAGTGTTACTGAAATTTATTGGCTTATGTGCCAATTGGACACTTCTCATGAAAACCCAGTTGCTTTTCTGTGCACATCTTGACCGTAACTCGTTCAATACTTATTGGAGCCGAAAATCTGTAAAGCAGAAGTTGTAGGGAAAACTCAAGTACACAGTTTATGCATAGTGTTCTTTTCCTGTAAGTCATCTGGTTCTTAAGGTGCACCAGTGTTGATACATGAGTAAAGGCTCTTCAGGAGTTGTGTTATAGTTCAGGAAGTTGGTCACCATCTTAAAACTGCAGAGGCTTATGTTCAATGTTGGATTTATGGTGGACAGAGTGGTACTGAAGCTGTTTTTTCACAGAACAGTTCAGTTTTCCCCTGCCACCTATTCATCAGTGCTCTTTACTCATCTGCCTTCAGGGACTGGTATAATAGGCTTGTGTTAGGCAGCCGAACCAAGGGACTCTAGCTTAGGGCATGTCAACATTGCCCCACCTGGGCCCCCACAGCTTAAATGCATGAGAAGTGAATATGTAAATACAATTTGTTTGTGCATGCTACAGTTTGTTGTGATGTCATGTGCTAATTAATTTGAAATTGTTTGAACAAATGTTTGCAACTTTGAAACTTAAGCAGTGTATTGTTTATGATGGCAGTATCGTATTTATGGTAGGCAGTGTTGTTTTCTCTACTGAGGCTATAGAAAGAGGTCCCATGGATGGCAGGGAGGCTTCCCACCCTGTGCCTTCCACACCTCCTCTTGGTTCATGTCAGCCAGAACTAAAGCATTGTCTGTAACGAAGGTTTTCAGGTGGTTACCACTAGCAACATTTGTGTCAAAAGTATGACTGAAACTGAAGGGGGAATGTAGAAAAATGTGGTTAAAAGGGGAAGCATAATATCCTGGAGGGAGGTGTGAGGGGGAGCTGATCCATTGGCCTTCATTCTGTGGCCTCAGTTTTTCCAGTTACTGGGACAAACATAAGCACCATGTAGAATACAGGAAACCCATCAGAATCTAAAAGGAAGTTTGTTTGGAAATAAATGCTGGTAAAGCTAATTGCGTGTTCATTTTGCATTATGAGAATGCAGACTGATATTGTAATTATTATTATTATTATTATTATTATTATTATTGGAGGGGGTGGGTTTCCCCATGCACCACGACCAGTTGTTGATCTATTGTATGTCCCCCTTTGATATTCTACCAGTCGCCATACCCTACTGGTACTGGTGCGTCCTATTAGCCCCGTTCAGCCAATGAGGTTGGCCCTCGGTACCTAATACTTCCCCCATCTATCAGAGGCATTGGAAACTGCTTGGGCAGGAAACTTGTTGCCTGATTTTGCTCAGAGTTCTCCTAGAGACGTGAGGATCTTTTACGTGCCGTAAATCTACGACACGGGACCCATGGCTTAAAGTCCCTCCCGGAGGATTGTTCCCTGAATTTTTCTGCCCTTAAAAATTCCACGACCTCCACCGGGTTTGAACCCGCGTACCTTGAGTCATGAGGTGGGAACGTCACCCCTAGACTATGGAGGCCGCTTGATATTGTAATAAGAAGGAAGCCAATTCTCTGGCAGTGGTTTGAATTTCAGGAACATGAAAATAAAATTCATGGTGAAATGCAGAGCAGATTGTATGTAGGGAATGCCATTCAGTTCTGAGTCTTTGTCCTTGTGGCACCTATCAAAAGGCATGAAAATTGAAACAAATGGAAGTATAATTTTGCTTATTCTCTGTGTTGGTGTGAAGTTTGGTTCCTCACTGTGACAGAAGAGCATGGACTCAGGGTGCCGATGAGAATATCTGAAGGCTGTAGAAAACTGCATAATGAGGAGCTTCATAATTTGTATGCACCACCAAGTATTGCCAGGGAAATCAAATCAAGGATGATGAGATGGTGAAACATGGAACGATAGGAAATGCTTAGGAAACTGTGATCAGAAAGCCTCAATCGTACAGCTGACATGGGGGACATAGATTCATAAGGTATATTCATATGTGAATAAATCATAGAGAGAGAGTCTGTGAGAATATGGACTTATTTCATGTATCTCATGATTGAGTCTAGTGCTGGGCTCTTGTGAAGGTGGTAATGAACTTTCTGTTCCTATAAGAGGCAGGAAATTTCTTGACAAGCTCAGAAAGTATCAGTTTCTCAAGAGAAATCCACCCCATGGAGTTACATAATTATATATCTTCGTCCCATCATCAGCAGATGTCAGCATCAGGCAGGAAGCATAGAGGGGGCCAGACATTTGACATTTACAATTCTGCATGTACACTTAATGTTGTATTGTATGGGAAATTCATTTCTGTGTAACAGACTTTTGCTTAATGAATATGCCCCTGTCATATGACAAGAAGTTAACATTTGAAAACACATATAAAACAGCACTGTGTTGTACTGCAAGATATTACGGTCACAGAAATCTGAAATTCTTGCCCATTTTTGTGTCTCTTACGGCTTCAGAATTTCAGTTCTTCAACGAGGAAGAGTAGTTTTAAGTCCATCAAACCCTCAGTCTCATTTCACTGTCTGAGTTCTGTGTCACTAGGAATAATGTCTAGGTTACTAGAGATTGAACTACCTAGTCCTGCTTCACATGCTTCCATGAAGAGGTCAGGATTCACAATTTCCATCACTTTCCATGCCAAAGATTTCTTTATGCTCGTGGCATTCTCCTCGCAGTATGCGAGAGCAGCTCGTTTGAGTGAATCACAGCCAAACTGATCAGCAAGCAGCAGGAGTGATGCTACGTTTTCAGGCGTGATGGTCTCTACAAGAGTTCTCTCACAGAGCAGTTTGAGTCCTGGCAGATGGTAGCTCTCTCCTACTGGTAGCAGTGTAGATGCAGTGGTGTCCAGATTGTTGACATGGTCAGTGTAGATGTAACGAAGCAGCTCCTGCAGAATCTCATCACTTAGGCCAGGCAACTCCAAGCACTTTTCCTGCATGTTTCCGCTGGTGTCTTGTGTTTCATTGTGAACTTGCTGCTCGTATACCTTAATCATACCTGCTAGGATGGGTGATCGGGCACTCAGAAGACACCTGTGTGCCGGGAATTTGCGCTCCCCATCACCTTGCAAGATAATGTCTCCTGAAACGTCCATCATGAGTAAACTGATTACTTGAAGATATAGTCACTCCATTAGTGTCTTACGCACAAAGAAATTAAGAGGAGATAACATTCAGATTAGAATCCATTGTCTTTCCACAGCATACTTGAAAACCTAGAGACTGAAGTAGACAAAAAAGTAAAGTTGACCCTGTGCTTAATTAAATCAGCCCTACACTGTGAAGATGGGGGGGGGGAGTGGAGGTATAGCTTCACCATTCTTGACCTCGACACCAGATGGAGGTGAGTGGTCAGCTTCACGCCCCGGCTGCTTTACCCCCAGGAAAGAGCCCCAACTACCTATTGGATATGAGGTTGGGTGAGCCCCAGAGCACCTGGTGTGGATAAAAATCACTTTCCCATGCTGGGAATTGAACCCTGGTCATCCAGCCCATAGTCCATCACTATACTGACTGAGGTATCGCAGCTTATAATCTTATTTGTTGTTCTGTATGGATGTAAACTTTGGCCTCTCGCCATAAGGGAAGAACATTTACTGAAGGTCGGACTTGAGGTTCTCACAGCAGTGACTTTGAAGAGAACTGTCTTCTGGGAAGTGACACTGTGTTACCTGTTTAAAGTTCACTGAAATTTTAGAGGAATGCACTGCCTCACTCTTCAGGGTTCAAGAGTAAGCCAGTTAGCAAACAGCAAGTGGAGTGCTCTGGAGGCAGTTCATCCCTCTTAAAGTTCAGTAAACATATACAAGATTACATGGCATTTCATCCCAGAAGAGAGTGCTCTTTGCAGACTGAGGGTGTTTCAGAAGGGTGTGCTGAGGCGAATATTTGGATCTAAGAGGGAGGAAGGGACAGTAGGGTGGGGAAAAGTGCATAACAAGGAGCTTCGTAACTTGTTCTCTTTCCACAGTATTGCTAGGCTGATCAGATCAAAGAGGATGAGCTGGGTGGAGCATGCACCATGTAAGAGAGACCTACAAAATGTGGTTAGAAAATATCAATGGCAGAGAACAATTGCAGTAGACATAGGCATTGGTGGGAGGATATTATTAAAATGTATCTTGACAAATATATTTTAAATTGGATTGAACTGGCTGAGCATAGTGCTTCTGCAGGATTGTTGTTCTTGAAGTACTGAAATGTTGAGCTTCGTGATTCAGGGGAATTCTCTGCTTGATGACAAGGAGGATCCTACCGCAGCAAGCATTTCAGTACTTGCCTGTGTTTGCGCCAGGCTGACTGGTGTAGGACAGCATTCTGGTGAGGTCCTGTGACAGGGAGTGACGCTCTGCTTCCGTTGGAACAAGTTGTAACTTGACGAAGACAGATACGTCACCACTGGTAGCCTCCACGTGGCGATCCAGTATGGTGAGGTCTCTGTATCCTAGTGACAGCATTTCATGGATGTTCTGGAGATGCAGTACCACACGACTAACATGACACATCTCCCAGTGCTTGATCTCCACATTGTACACGCCAAACTGAAACCTGACACGTGCCTGTTCTGGTTCCTCAGTACTGCAGCTCAGCAGGTTCAGGCACAGTACCACTGGATTGGTGAGCCTTTTGCCCTCTGGCCCTTTCCAGAAACGAATAGACATGTTCCATTGCGTTTGAACTCCATTCACATTAAAGTCAAATGGAGGACTGTCAAATGAATCCTGTGTGTTGATGGAGTGAGCATATTTCTTGATGAGCCATGTGTATTTGAAAATGATGTCTGATACCACTGGCACCAGTAGTTCCACACCAGAGCTTGTTCCAGCCATAGGATGAGCGCCGGCCCTGTGAACGCAAGAAGTGACCTATATAAAAGAGAAACCATTTTGGAAAGTTAAATACGCTTAACCTTGAGAGTGCAAGAGAAGAAACATACCAAAAGCCAGACATTACAGTTCATCGTCATGCGTACCATTTGATAATGTGTCATTGTTTTTGTATTATAACGACCATGTTGCAAGGTTGGAGCTCAGCATTTTTCACTGACACTGCAGCAGCAATCACTGGTGTGGCTGCTGCACTTGAGACTTGTATTGAGAAGGAGCTTGGTTCAAAACACTGGTACAGCAGGAGTCCTGAATAAATTTTCAGATGACTTGCACCGCAACGTCTGTGATCTGTTGTTTCCTTTCTGCGAGCAGCCCTCTAACAGGGTCACATTTGTTCTTGTTTTATTGTATTTTTACTCACCATCAGACTCTCTGAAGTTTCACACATGTAGTTTTATTAATTGTCTGGAGGGCTTAATAAAAGGTTATTTAACCTCATTTTAATCCAGGTGCATATAGCTGAGTGCTTTGATATGCCCTCATACCCTCTCACACAGTCATGTGGAACATGTGACACTGTTTCATCTTCATTCTGGAAGTTTTCCCAGGTGGGACCATTTACTAGTCCTAGTCTGAATGTTTCCTTTCAAGTGACATTGTTCTGTAAGTAGTCTTCTCAAATGTCTGAACTAGTTTTGTTTGTCGTTAACAGTTCCCTAATGTTATATTTTAGCGTCCTGTTGCACTGATTCACGTTCATGATGTGTATTTGTACCAACCGTCTTACAGTGCACACAGTTTCACTTTTCTCTTCACTACATGTTTCGGCATTAATGTGCCATCATCAGATGTGGTTTTATTTATGTCAAACCACTGCACTGTATATGCACATCATGTCTCCTTTATAAAATGATATGTCATGTATAATAATAAAGTTTATATATTAAAACTTTATTATTATACATGACATTTGTACATTTTGATCATTTTATAAAGGAGACATAATGGCATACAGTGCAGTGGTTTGACGTAAATAAAACCACACCTGATGATGGCACATTAATGCCGAAACATGTAGTGAAGAGAAATGTGAAATTTTGTGCACTGTAAGACGGTTGGTACAAGTACACATCATGAACAGTTCCCTAGTTCATTTGGCACAGTGGACATAATGGAGAACAGTCAGAGATGTCATGAAACTCTCTCTGGGTTGTATTTAGTGACGAGTTTTGATGTTAGCTGTCCTGAACTTCATGTTCTGCTACCAGAGAGTTAGTTCAGCAATTGCAGTATATTGTTAAGACAGTTTTGTTCAGCTGCTTATAACAGTTTGTTAATGGAGAAGAAATGATAGACTGACAGCTAAAATAATTAACAGGTTTGCTGTTGTAATTATGTTCATTGATATGCCACTAAAACACGGATGTTACTTTTGCTGGTTATCATCTTGTATCATGGTCTCCGCATTACTGGACATGCTCCCTCCAGTACCACATTTAATCAGAATCCGTCCAGTAACTTTGGAGATGAACCGTGGGTAGACAGATAGACAGATTTGAAATTTGCCATGCTGCCCATACAGTGTGTTCACTTGTTTGATATGACTCGGGATAAAGAGTGAGTACTTCCCTACAGTGTTAGCTATTTGGTCTTTGTAATGGAAGTGCAGTATGTTTGCTGTTAGATAGGAGCAGAATTTTTAATTATTTAGTTGAACTTCAGGCTTCAGAGGGTTGCCATGTTTGTTCCTGTATCAACTTTTAAAGGTTAAATAATGGCCTGTGATGAAATACTCCAAACACATGGATGGACGTCGTCAGATCTAGGGACTGAGTGCTAATAGTGATGGAGGCGGTTTTTGTTGCCATTTGGAAACCTTCGGAACACTTATTATATTTGCCATGTCCATCCATTCGTTTAAAACAACCGAAGAACCACTTTGGTATTATGAAGTTCGAGTTAGAATCAGACAGCAGTAACAGACACTTCACTTGACGACGTACGCGCATCTCGAACGTACCTCGGACCGAAATATGTTTCGGGCAGAAGGTGTGGAGAAAAACTGAACATGCCCTACGTCCAGTACAGGTCTTCGAGTTTTCGAAATAATCGAAAGTAAGCCTGTATGCCTGAATTTTTGCTCCATATGTACATTTCCTGACCTGTTTAATTCAAGAAGTACAGATCAATATGATAGACGCCCCTGCTATGTACGTTCTGCATGGAACACAAAAGAAACGCCTTTTCGCGCGACCAGCAATGAATGTTTTGTAATTATTATTCACCTGAATTTTATAGACGATTCTTGAGGAGACCAACTCCTTTCACATCAAATGGTGGTTGGTACACACTTGTATTTACATTTCTCTTAATTAGCTGAACTGTGAAATTCAGAAGAATCTCCTTTTTACATTTATATGAATATCACACACGCTTACACAGTCCCTACGCCGCTCCTCTGAAAACTGTACTTGTAGCACCCTTCTGTAACTTATTTGGCACTGGTGTGAAGTGGGGTGGTGGTGGGGGCCGACAGCTAATGGACCACACGATAAAGCCTGATTCACAGGCATATGCAACTGCCGCCAGCTTATTTCTGTCTGTCACGTACTGTCATTATGGGAATAACTGGTTCAGTTTCATTGGTAACTTGTCGATATCTCGAATAAAATGCTTCCCAAATGCATTCCATAAAAAATGTGACGTGCTTGCGATTGTCGCATGGGAAACCGAAGAAATGTTCTTATCGTTTTAATACGCCGTGAAGACGTAAGGCCGGGGCCGTAGCAGCCAGCCTTCTAAGGAAGACGACGTTGTCACGGACCCATCAGAGATTTCTCTTCGACGTCTCCATCAGACCACTCATTGACTAATGAAACCTCACTGTCTGCCCTATTTCCCCCGTATCAGCTGCTCTGCCCTGATCTTCCAATTGAAAAGCGGTTACTTCCCGTAGCTCTTGGTCTGAGCTCTTTTTCGTCACGGCAGCCTCCGTACAGTGCTGCTGGAAGCCTCAGAGCCTGCCTTCCTGTCGGCCGTATTGTCCGCTGTATCGGCCGCTTCTAATACGAGACCTTCATTTTTCCTGCATTTCGTGGGCTGCCCTCCGTTTCGGTATCGTAATGCGGTCTTGGTTGTGACAGCATCCTTGAATAAACTTGAAAATAAGGCAGTAGTGAACAGAAAGAGAACAAAATCGCGACATCTCATGATTCCGCACTTCAACCCTTAAAGCGCGTGACATGTGTACGTTCCGCTTCTAATGCAAGCCCATCTATGTCCTTTATTGCATTGGCCGCCCTCCAGTCCGCTCTGTCGGCTGCTAGGCAGTTTGCTTTTTGTTGTCTCGTGACCTGCGGTTGATGTGCCACTGATCTGTGTTCTTTCTGACGGACGTTTTTGTGCAGTGCCTTCTGCAGAGCGTGACGCGTCCTGTCCAGGGGAGAGTTCAGTACTTACTTTCTTGAGCTGGCTGCCCTTCATTTATGCGAAGTTAGGTTACGAGAGCGACTTCATATCGCGGTGTATACTCGTTTCCTTGAACATGGAACTGCGTGCCGGACGGACGTGGGTCCCGTATTTTTAGAACTGCATCCCAGGCTTTTTCCGCCCATTCATAGAGTGGTGCATGGGGAAACCATGGGAAAACTGGGAAATAAACGAGAAGAAATGACCGAGAGATAGGGAAGAGGACGGAAACAACAGACACGGCGACGTAGATTCGGCAAACCTTCCCGTTCCATTGAGATGCCGCGTGATGCACGGTAACAGTGCGGCCTCTGGTTAAGGGAACTTTTAATTTACACCACTCTAGCGTTAGCTTTGAGATCAAAAACTAAAAAGAAGAAGACTAGGTCAAAATGGGCAAAGGCTTGATTACTTAAACGAAATAATCTCTCGCATATACATTTATTGAAAGATTTAACTCTAGAATCGGGTGATTGGTACAATTATTAAAGGATGGACAATGAGACTTCTTTACACCTTCATTTGGTAGCGTCACATATCAGAACGATTGATAGTGCAGTGCAATCCAAATTGCTGGCACTCTGTCTGGGAAGTTCTTGATCCGTTAAAAATAAAAGGTCATCGTAGTACCATAAACTTGGCGTATAATTATCATCTGTTCCATTGCCAGACTTCTGAGAATCCTGGACTTTCTCGAGTTCTTTCCGAAAACAACTTCGTAGTGAATTTATTTTTTACCACTGCTTCCTTTGTGCTTCGGGATCAATTTCCGATAACTTAACTCGTAACTGTTCGTAAACAACATTTGTCTTACTTATTTAGAATCTGGACGATGGATAAAGTCCGAAAACCCAGTGTCTCTGAAATTTTTTGTTTTTGTTTTTATCGGAGTACTCTATACTTTTGATCTTCCACAAACATGGATTACTGCGATACAGCTGAATTAATTCGCACAAAAATGCTCCGGGTACGATTCTCAAATCCGACATATCGAAGTGCACAGTTGGAACGATCACTTAAAACTGACGCTAAAACTGTAGGCCCCACACACGCTCCAACTTGCTCGCAGATATGCCTGTACACGCACAGAAATATCAGTCTCTGACAGATTTACTTCAAGCCAAGCCTAAGACGGTACAGGGACGAAAATTCAGTCCTACGTGACGTCTTAGAACTGCGCAGGCAAAACGGACGCTAAGACGGTCCGTCTGTGGGCCCCTTAAGGTCGCGAGGCCGGAAAGCTTTGCGCCGCTCGCTTTCTTGCCGTTCCAGTGTGGCTGAGCTTATGCAATAAACTGAAATAGAATGGCAGTGAACCAAATCTCGCGAGTAATTGTTTGCAAATGGAAGTTTTCGATACGTTTGGTATTTGGCACTTCGGCCGGTTGACGTCAGAAAGGGAGACGGAGGAGGAATATAGGAAGACAGAAGATAATAAAGAAACAGAGAGAAGTGGAAAGATGGAAGGAGAGGATAAATAAATAAATAAATAAACAGAAAAGATCTGGATCTTGATGTATGTGACACCGTGTATTCTGGTAGAGGTTTTACGACGTTTCGGAAGAACATATTGCCGTCATCTTCAAGGATGAAAAGTAATCTAGATATTCAGCAAGAAGTAAGCAGAATAAGTTACTCAGATTTCTTGGCTTACTCTTCGACTCTGAGCATGAAGGCAGTAGATTCTTCTGAGACGCCAGTAAACGTCAACCAGACTGCACGGGCTCACATCCCAGAAGACAATAGTCATCGCAGCCACTGTCGTGAGAGCCTCAAATTTCAAATCTTCAAAGAATGAAGGCCCATTTAAACTTAACATACCACAGATTTTATTCTTAGAAGAATGTGAAGAAGCAGAAGGGTTATTTCTGCCCCCTATTTTGTAGAAAATAAAGAAGATGATGAATCTGTAGCAGCTGTAGAGTACAGTGAAATATTTTCACAAGAAACTTGTCTTCTGAATCAGTAATTGGAGAAGCTACATGAACTTTATGCAATTTAAATTAGCAGACTCAAATTAGCAGGGTAACAAGTGGCCACGGAGGAGCATGCATTTATGTAAAAAGAGGTTTAGAAACAAAAGAAGTTAATTATTTCTAAGATATGAATGAGGAAAAAAACTTTGAAATGGCGGCGATAGAATTGTTGGGTTATAAAATTATTGTAATTTGCATATATATAGATCACCTGATGGAAATTTTAAAGAATTTTTAAGGAAACTGGAACTGGTGATTAAAAAATTAAATATGAAAGGAAAGCAGTTAATCTTACGTGGGGACTGGAATATGATTTTTTTGCAGGAGAGTGTAAAATTAAATTAACTAAAAAATCTTTTTCATGTGTATATAATTTGGTAAATACAGTGGAGGTCCCAACTAGAGCTACAAAGAGTACTAAATCATTGATTTATGTAATCATTATAAATAATAGTAATTATACAAAACCATCTGTAGTAATAGATCTAGGTTTTTCAGAACATTATGCTCAAGTATTATCTACATGTATTGAGAATTTTGTAAGACCATTAAAAGTTAGGAGGAGAACGTTTATTGAAGGAGGCATGGAAGAACTGCAATATATTTTAAACAAAGAATCGTGCCAAGATGTGTTTTTAGAATCCGATGTAAATGGGAAATTTGAGGTTTTTATGGATACTTTCCATTATTGCTTTGATATGGTTTTCCCCTTAAAATTATTTAACCAGATTAAACAACAAACAAAAGGTTGGGTTACTCAGGGAATAAGAAAGTCCAGTAGAAGGATGAGTTGGTTGAATAGTTTGCAAAAGAGAACAAATCTTACAGGAAGGGAACAGGAATTTATACATAAATATCGAATGATATATAAGAGAGTAATAAAGGAAACTAAGAGAGGGAAAATGATAGGCATATAGCTAATGCAAAAAAACAAAACTAGAGCAATGTGGCAAATAGTGAATAAGGAATTAGGAAATAACTTGCAAAGGGAACTGGGAATAGAACTAAAGTGCGGGACAAGGAAAGAGGCTAATCCACAGCGTATAGCTGAAATGTTTAATTTATATTTCGTGCACATAGTAGGAAAGCTTGTCAAGCAAAATAATAGTATGATGTTGTGCTGTAAAGCACCACAGAGAATAAATACCTTTAATGAAACCATGTTTATTTGTCCAGTGACAGAAAACGAGATAATAGAAGTGGTGAAGAAATTTAGGGGGAAATTTTCAGCAGGTACCAATGAAATACCGGATTATGTGGTTAAAAAATGTATAGAAGAGGTTAAAACACCATTAGCCCACATTTATAATGCCTCTCTAGAAGCAGGTATTTTCCCAGAGAGATTTAACATAGCAAAGGTAAAACCACTTCATAAAAAGGGAGACAAGAAGGATATGAAAAATTATATACCAATATCCCTTTTGTGTGCTTTCTCGAAAATCTTGGAAAAGTTGATGCATAATAGGTTACTCTCCTTTTTGACAAGAAATACCATATTAATGAGGCCCAACATGGATTTAGGATGACTAGGTCGACTGAGACTGCAATTTACTCTTTTCTAGCAAACATACAGGAATCAGCTGAGAAAAAGGAACAGGTCAGAATTTTTTGTGATTTAACTAAAGTGTATGATGCCATAAATCATGACACCTTACTTTCTAAATTACAAACATATGGAGTTAGAAGTGTGGCAAACTTACTGTTTAAATCATATTTGGCGTACTGGAAGCAAATTGTTCAAATAAGTTGTGATGGCAAAAAATATACATCGGCTCCAAGAGAAATTAAATATGGAGTACCACAGGGTTCAGTGCTTGGACCAGTATTATTTTTATTATACATAAATGATCTGCCTTTGAATATCAAAGAGGCAAGGGTAGTTTTGTTTGCAGATGATATAAATATTTTGGTAACAGCTGAAAAGGGACATATCCTGCAGCAAAAGATAAATAAAGTCATGAATGAGCTATATGGATGGTTCAATGCAAATAATCTTATATTGAATACTGAGAAAACAATAGAAGTGGCATTTCATAATAGACAAGTAACAGATTTAATGAAACCTCAAATCAAATTTGGCAAAATGGAGATCTCCTATAAATGTGAAACGAAATTTCTAGGTATACATGTTGACGAGCATATGGAGTGGAAAGCACATATGACTTTCTTAAGCTCAAAACTTCATAAAGTCTGTTACATGATAAAATCCCTTAGGGATATAACAAGCCGACAGGTTATAAGGAGTATTTACTTTGCTCACTTCCATGCTTATTTGAAGTATGGTTTAATTTTCTGGGGTAGCGACCCAAAAAGTAAAATTATATTTAAATTGCAGAAAGGAATTGTAAGAATAATTAGTGGTGTGAGTGGATTAGCATCATGTAGACAACTTTTGAAGGATTTAAACTTACTTCCGCTACCTTGCATGTATATATTTGGAATAGTATGCCATGTTAAGCCGGTCACGGTAGCCGAGTGGTCTAAGGCATGCACTGTCTTCACTCGCTCGGAAGCCGGGATCGTGGGTTCGAATCCCACTCAGGTCATGGATGTTTGTTTGCGTTTTTCTGTGTTTGTCTACAGGTAGAGGCCTTGCGACGAGCTGATCACTCACCCAAGGAGTCCTACCGAATGTGTAAGATCTAGTAAACCGAAGTGAAACGGAGAGTTTCATGGAGGTAGGCCTAGGCCCAAATTGGGGCTGTAGTGCCACAGAAAAAAAATGCCATGTTAAACTACATTTAGAAAAGTTAGAACAAAATAACATAGTTCATAATCACAATACACGCCGGAAGTTAAATCTCCATGCTCAGTTTTGCGGAACAAATGCCAATAAGAAAGGAGTACTGAACATGGGAATAAAATTATACAATAAAATACCAAATAAAATTAGGGAGTTAGAAAAAATGAGACAGTTTGAAAAAGTAATGAGGTCATATTTGGTACAACATACGTTTTATTCTATAGAGGAATATATGTTAAATTAAAGATGGTATGTTTGTGAAAGGGGGGTATTTATTTTATAGAAATTGAACTGTTGTATGTTTAATATGTATGGAACGTTTTCCTGTGACAGTGATTTGATGAGGAAGGCAGAATGGATTGGTTGATTGATGTGAAATGGATTGAATTGGTTACTCTGTTGGGGAATTTATGTTGTCATAAATTTTTAATATAGTTTTTTATGGCATGTTGGACATGTACACAATTTGTGTATGTAGTTAAATATTATAGTATTGTTGACTTTTATACAAATAGTTTGACTTGTTCTGTATCTCTAGGCTGTATTGCAAAATGTGGATTTCTGGAACCAATAAAAATATGAATATGAATATGAAATAAATTCCACTAATTATAATGGTAACTTTGAGAGCCATAGTTACGGGAATGGCCCAAGTGGGCCTGGCCTGTTGTATCAGCTCCTGATGGCAGGTGAATATGGGGCTCTGGTGGGGTCATAACTGGTATGGGCAAATGTAAGTGCTTAGAGCAAAGCCTGCCTCAGTGGCCCTTTGTCTACCATAAATCCCACACAGACTCTTCTGTGATTTAACCTAGCCTTCTGTGGTGAGAAGTCAATGAATGTTGGCCCGAGCTATTAGAAAATAACTGAACCCACAATTTGTTAACAGCAGCCACAGAGTTCCAAAGAATGGTTCAAATGAACGTGCCGTACTTGGCAGAATATGCACTTTTGTACCAGATTTTCAAGTTTTTTAATTAAACATCAACAAATTTTACTTACTTATTCATATATTTCATGTAATTTGATGCATTCATTTATATGGCACAGCAGATGGGTTAAGTAGTTGACAGCATCTTGTCTAATCATTGCATCTGCCTTGGCTGTACTACCTGGTTTGATTGCTTTTCAAGCCTTTTTGTTTCTTCAGTAGAATCAGAAATATAAAGCTACATGCTTACTTGCCTTCTTTGGATATATAAGACTAAATGATAAATCAGCTTCCCACCGTGGCGGCCCGGGTTCGATCCCGGGTCTGGTCAAGTGGGATTTGTGGTGGACAAAGTGGCGCTGGGGCAGGTTTTCTCCGAGTACTTCGGTTTCCCCTGCCAATCTTCGTTCCACCAATTGCTCCACAATCAACCTCACCTATCATCTGGGGCTGGTACAATAGGCCAGAAGTGGCCGCAGTATAAGGGACTTAGTCCCACCTCACTAGCAATAAAAAAAGTGATAAATTTGACCATGTATCTGGAAGGAGTGTGGACATTTCGAGTTGGCGATTTAGTCTCCTTGGCTATTGGTACAGATGCTGTTGCTGAGTTTGGTTTTTGTATATGTTCTCTCTAGTTACTTATGTAACTTATCCCCTTGTAATAGAGCTGTCAAGTGGCGCCTCTGTGAGCATTTCCATGAACTTGTGACTGATGAGGACTGGAAACGTGCTTAAGCATTCTCAGTATATATACAGGGTGGGCCAGACTCAATTAGGCAGTTTTTGATCATTAATAACTAACCAATCCAACAACACACGGGATAATGGGAAAGTACCTTTTGTTGCTGATAGATGGCAGCATCATACGGTATGCTGTGAACGAGGTCAATACTCTGCCTACTTAGTGCATGTCGAGGAAACATCATGGCCGGTAGACTGTTGTCTATCGAGCAGCGTGTAAAATGTGTGCACCTTTTCTCAGTTACCAACAATGTATCAGAAGTCCAGCGCAGGATGTTGGAAGAGTTTGGACCACCAGCAGTCCACAGGGACACAATCGTCCGAATAAACAAGCAGTTTGATGAAACTGCCAGTGCTTTGAATCCCAAGCATCCTGGTCAGCCGAGAACTGTCCGAACTGCTGACACACAAGCACGTGTTGCTGCGGAACTGGCATCATCTCAGAAATCGAAGTCTACCCACCGTTTGTTGGCCCTACTGGACATTTCGAGGACAAGTTTGCGGAGAGTTTTGAGTCACATGAAGCTGACTCCATACCATCCATGGCTTATTCATGTTCTTAACGAGGATGACTTCAACAGGCGACTTGAGTTTGCCGAGTTGATGCTGACTAAGTTTCAGGAGAACCCTGACCTTATCCGGAATATTGTCTGGACTGATGAGGCCAAATTTCACATATCAGGATCGGTCAACAGACACAACTGCGTGTTTTGGCGGCCAGAGAACCCCAGTGCCACCACTGAATACGATTTCCAGTCCCCGGGAGTGATGGTGTGGGGCGGCGTGATGTATGAAGGACTGATTGGCCCGTTCTTCCTTGAAGGTTGCGTCACGGGGGAAACCTACCTAAAGTTGCTGAGGGAAAGTGTCATCCCAGAACTTCAGAGGAGAGAGAACTTTGATGAACTGTGGTGGCAGCAAGATGGGGCCCCACCACACTTCGCCAATATTGTTCAGGCGTTCTTGCATCAAGTTTTTTCTCAACGCTGGATTGGCTGTCAAGGGCCTGTGGAGTGGCCAGCCCCATCATCCGACATCACCCCACCAGACTTTTTCCTTTGGGGTTACCTCAAAGACAAGGTGTACACTAATCCCATTGACAGTGTGAAACATCTGCGTGAGGTGATTGTTCAGGAGTTCAATAAAGTTCCGGTGAATATGTGTAGAAAGGTGTGTGAAAATGTTGCTTTGCGTCTGCAAGCCTGTGTTGACTTAGGTGGTGCCCAGGTTGACCAGCATCTTGAAAATTGATGACTTACGTGTGTGCGATTCCATTTTTGTAACCATTGGAATTGTTAACATTTATCAATAAAAATAACATCTAATCAAAAACTGCCTAATTGAGTCTGGCCCACCCTGTATATATAATCGAGAGAAAAAATAAAGAGAAGTGAAATAATTATGTCTCTCAGATTTCACATTGAATTTTAACAGCAGCCATGTTTAATTCAAATGAAGTCAGTCTATGTCAGCACTTGTAATTTGCTCTTTTCTAGAGAAGGGGGCTGGGCAGAAGAAGCCACAGACTTGTTTGAAGACCTGTGTCACGTGGCACAATGGAGGGCGCTTATGTCCCGTGTAGATTCTTACAAGGAAAGGGAGCAGTGTGAACGAGAAGGCAGCCCTATCCCTGTCGTGGATCTGTATGACACAAGTGGAGCTCAGGTGTGTTGCTGTTCAACTTTCCATTGTTTCTGTGCTCCTCCTCTTCTGTTCCTTTCACTTCTCCTTTTAGTTCTTTAGTGCAGATGGTGTAGTGTCTGTTCTGCAGGCTAGACAACAACAGAATCGGGGTCCAATTCCCAGCAGGCATAGAGAGTTATATTTTCTCCACAGCTTCCAGACCAGCTCTCGGCCCCACCCAGCATCCCATTCAGTGGGGACTGGAGGCCCATTCCCCAGAGGTAGAGAGCCTGGGGTGTGAAGCTGACTATTCACCTGCACCCTATGCTGAGGTTAATGCATGAAGCTGCCCCCCCCCCCCCCNCATGCTGGTCAGTTGAGCACAGGAGCAAGTTTCTTGTTGCATCCTTCCTTGTTTCCTGTTCTGAAAGAATTGTAGTGCCATCAGGAGCCCGCCCGCCCGCCATTTATTTTGAATCCTGTTCAATCAGTGAACAGTTCAACAGAGATGAATGATCAGTATTTGTTATTCCTTCTGTATTCATATCAGAGTGATGTCTTGGAATTGTGTTTTGTACAGGATATAACAAAATTAAATTATTGATAAAAAAATTCAAAGGTGTCCATTACTTTTGGTTACCGTTTAGCTCATTATTGCAGTCATCAGACCCTATCCTTAATCAAGTTTACACCCTCCTCCTCTAACGTTCATTCTAATATTATCCTTCCATTTATGCATGGGTCTACTAAGTGGTTTCTTCTGTAATGATTTTGTCGCTAAAATTACATACACATTTCTGATTTTAGCACTGCATGCTGCATAGAGAGACTGTCACATTGTTACTCATTCTTTTTGAAATGTAATCTGAGCTTTGAATTTCTTAGATTGCAGTGTTCCGGGGTGTGATGCCATGTAAGTTTTGTAGGTGTCAGCACTTCAGAGGAACATACTGTCACCATCATCAGGGTGGTGGAGCTACTCTTCCACCCTACAGGTAGATGTTCCTCAGAAGTGTTAGCTATGTACTGTATAACACAATGTCTTAATACAATATCTGTTCAGGATATCTGTGTGGCAGAGGAGCTGGTTAAGCAAGGGTATGCAATGTGGGAGAAAGGTCAGAAAGAAGAGCAGCAGAGGATTGTGGGCAAGCAGTCACAACAGCTGCATACAGACAGTAGTGAAGATGTATTACCTGGGAAGAAAAATGATGTCGTAAATGATGCTGCTGGCGGACAGAACAGTACGGCATCTGGAAACTGCAAAAAGATGAAGTCTGTGGCTCCAGATGCTGCCAGCTTTCGAGCACCTGAAGGCTTGTGGGACGAGTATGACAGTGAGGGTGGGCTGGAGATGGGCTAATTTCACGTCAGCAGTCGGCAGAGGCAACACTAGCTTCAGTGCATATTGAAGCAAAAGAAATATGTTCTGTGTATATTTAAGACACTTAGACCTGCGCAAAAGTTGATTAGATAGTGTTTGCACCCAGGCTGTTTTCTCCCTAAATGACAAATATTTGGAACCATTTTCCTAAACACCGCTTGATGTATCAGTATTTCAGACATTTTTCTTTTTCACCTATTGCATAAATTTTCTTGCTAACAGTTCATGGCAGTGAAACTGGTTAATACAGAGGTTCTCAATTATTTTCATAAATAATACAACAAAGTATGAAAAACAATCAGATTTGAGGTTTCATATGGTGAGTGTTAAGATTACGGCATCAAGGGATGCGGTACCATGTCATTTGATAGAGGTATAGCCATTCACCACACTAAACAGCATCTCATTCCAGAAGGCTGTAATATCATAAGTAAATAAATCTAAGGTGTTATCATCAAGTTTAGTTCCAATTTTCAGTTTTTCTACATATCCTGAGTAAAATCAGCAGCTGTGCATTTTGAAATTTATAAATACACTCAACTCTCGATTATCCAGGATAATGGTGGGGATGGAAATCACGATTAATCGAAAACCCGGTTAAGACAAATTTTATTAAAAGTAGTACTGTAATACTGTACCTTCATAATACTATAGGCCTACCTGTATTTAAATTTATTCAACCTCATTTTTATGTCATCTCATGGCCTATTTAATACTTTTTTTTACATTACACTGAAGTATGAATTAGTTATTTCAATCACAGTCTTCAACAACACTTTTTACAAATATTCACACTTAACACTTAAAAAAATTTAATATTGTCGTTTGCTTTTTCGCGGCATTTTCCTTTTTCTGTTGAATACTTAACACAACACGCTTCCTTTTACACCCTGATATTTTGCTAACGCACTTGAAGATCGATACAAAGAAACTAACTGGGGCGGTGTATCTGTCCTTAAAACTTTCCACAAATCCTTGCATTCTTTCACCCCTACCCTAGAACATTGTGTTAGCATAACGGGACCAAAAAATGCAGAGCTTGGTTCACACTAGTGCGAAAATAGTGTTACAACTCACCATGTGAAACAGAAGTGAATTAATATTAAACAACATATAAGCCTCAAAAAAGCCCCGGTTAAGCCGCAAACCAGTTTATCCACCCCTGGATAATCGAGAGTTGAGTGTAGATAAATATTGCAGTCCTGGGAATTTATGAGTGGCAGTGACGGATATTTACTTGAGAATTGCTTCCATCAATAATTAATTTCTTCGTTTATAAGAAATGACATAGAACTCTGTACAACTTCTGTATTAATTTTATGAGTTCAAATTTAAACATTTTGAAGATGGTCGATTCAGAATTAAGGGTTAATATACTGGAATCTAAACTGACCAACCAGGGAATGATTTGAACGTATCATCTATAGAAATTGCTGTATGAGTATCTGCAATGGCAAATAATAGCTTTTCCCTCAGTATACACAACTCAAAATATCTGACTAACAGAAAAGCGATAGTTGCTCTTTTGGAGCAGTTTCAATTCTTGAAGTATCATCATTTAGCATTTTTATGGATCAGCATTTGAAATTGCTGAGGCACTGATTATGTGTTTGACAGTGTGTGCTAGCTTGTGAAGTTATTTAAATGATTGTTTCTTATTTTCAGTATGACAAATTTTACAGATTTACCTGTATAAACAGCTGGTATTTTTTTCTGTTCCTTTCTTGTTCCCTGTGTTTTTATGACAGTATGTTTGTTCATTATTGTTCATTTTCATCACCTTAATGTTTTCAGCATAACATAGCCATGTAGACAAGTGTACCATTCTACAGTACTTAAATTATAAAATAGGACATTTTTAAAATTATAATTTTTGTATCAGTTGTAGTTTCTGAACTTATTTACCTTTTTCAGCTGTAGTGAAGTGCCAGTTATACTGAGTGACATAGCCATTTGAGGTATACCATTTTACGTGTTATAGACATCTTTAATTTTTATTTGGTTGTAGTGTATCACTCGCTTAGATATATATATTCTTTCACAGTTGTGCATGTTTGCAATGAAAATTTGCAAAAAACTTTGACATTTGGCTTCACTGCATGTAAATGTGTCTGTCCACATTTAGCAATTCAGGGACTGTTGAACAAATTTGTATGAAATTTGAAATTACAGGCTCTTTCCATATTTGTTTTCCATGTTCCATGTTTGATAAAAATCTGGCAACAATAATAGACATTTATATGAAGACTTACATGTATATTTATGAGCAGTTTGAGCTTTCCTCTGAATATTTATGGGAGCAAACTGTTCTGAATGAAACTGAAATGCTCATTTTATGCCCATTGCCTTTCTTCTGTTAAGTTCTGTGGATTCTGAGAAAATTAAACACGAGTAAATGCACTGAAATTGTTTTGCTTGTGTACATTTCATAAGTTGTTAGGACAAATTCAAACTGTTCCACAAAAAATGCAGTCATCATGACTGTCTGAGGTGATTTTGTATAAAGATACAAGGTAGATGCTCTGGATTTCAGATAGTGCCTCCATAAATTTTGAATTCTTTATGTAAATTATGAATGTTGCTAATATGTTTTCATTATGCTCAGGGTGTCCAACCACTTCACAGGCTACATTGGTCTGTTATGGGTAGCACGAAACAGAATCGTTCCCTCATTAGAAGCCTTCTTGTTGGTTCATACTTATTGTTAATGGTTTCCCACCCATTCCAAATCACAGAATGCTTCCTTATGTTGTGCATACATGCAAAATACCAGAGGGGATTAGACACATTATGTGGATTAAATTATGTAGTGAATAATTCTGTAAGGCTGAGGTGGAAACACTTGACTGTGAATTATAATTTAATAGACAGATGAGTGTCTTTCCAGGAGATTATACACACAACAGACTACCTGTAGTCTTCAGTTTGTTTTCCCAGAACCAAATGCTTTTCCATGTAGGAGGTTGGTGTCCATACATATTGCATTCTAAAACAGGTTGCAACTTTGCTAGCCACAACACACATTGAACCTGTTCCTGTGGTGTCGACATCATTACTGATCTCACCAAAGGTCACCAGCTGGCGAGTGCACATAAGCTGGGCGTGAAAAAAATACTTTCAGAGTTTTCCTTTCCGATGACATAAACCGGATACGTGTATGACAATTAAGTTTCTGAGATATAAATTTTTTATTATTGATACCTTTCATCCAGACACTGTATAACCTGGTGCATATTACAGTTAAAGTAAACATGTGGTTAGATGTAAAGTCATGGCATAACATAAACTAAAGAAACAAATAGAAGAGTCTAATACATCAAAAGGAAAGCAGAGCAGACCCTTAACACACCTTGCACACCTGATAATGACCAGTTAGGCTGAAATATCTTGCAAAATAAAGCAGAGAGAAGAAACATTGAAACCTAGCAGATTTTGATTGAGTTGCACAAGGGCAGATAAGAACCAGAACAGTATTCAAGTTTATATGCAGTGCAGCAGGATACTAAAATATAATATTATGAACTGAAGTTTCAGTACTGAACACTCACAAGAGCTCACATTCAGGGGTCCATCTTTTGCACTCAAAAAAGTTATTGTGCAAAAAAAAAAGGTTACTAGTTGGATGAAAGTAAAATTTAGTCCTTGCACAGTCTCAGAATAGTTCTAATCATCAACATTAGCGAGGGTTATTTGGTTTAAGGATGTCCTGCCTTCAGTAGCTGTTCAGACCCTCTTCATTGGTCTTCCAGTTGATCTTTCCACAGAGTGAAGGGTATTTTGTGATTGCAGTCTGGTTATTTTTGTAACAGAGCTGTATATTTAAATGAACATGAACATAAGTGAGAATGCAGAATATCAAAGGATGCATTCTGAAAATACAGGGTGTCCTAGGTGTTTGGTGCCATACTTCAGGAGCGCACTGAGGGTTCCCTATAGAACAACTTTGAAATAGGAACCCATGTCCGCAAACATAAAATAGCAGCACTAGGGCAGCATTTAATATCATTTTGTTTAAACTTGGCCCCTCATTGTCGAAGAGGCATATTACCCCCTCCATACTCTTAAGACTCACTTGCTAGAGTAGATGTTGGAATTGGCGCCCTCCATTTTCAATGCATGTGTTACATTGACAAAACAACTTTGGTGCACCCTTTCAAATATTCCAGGTGTCTCACAGATCATGTCACATGCATCAAGTATTCTGGCTAACAGCTTGAATGCATTATCCACAGCCACGTCGTAGATCAGGCTTTTCACATGGCCCTAGACGAAATAATCTAGAGGTTCAAGTCTGGGGATCGGGGTGGCCAAGGCATTGGGCTTCCTCGTCCTATCCAACGACCATGAAAAGCAGCATCCAAGTAGTCACTTAATACACTGCTGAAGTGTGCCGGCGCTCTGTCATGCTGTATCCATATTTGCCTCCGCACAATCAGTGGCACATCTTCTAGCAAAGTCGAAGGATACATTCCAGGAACACCTTGTAAAAGGGCCCATCGAGTCATGGTGGTAAGAGGAAAGGCCCAATCAAGTGATCGCCTATGATGCCCGCCCAGACATTGACAGAAAATTGCGCCTGGTGGTAACCAACTACAGTAATGTTAGGGTTTTCGTCAGCCCAAACGTGGCTGTTTTGACAGTTGGACCAGCCATCCCTAGTAAACTGCTCTTCGTCTGTGAATAACACGTGATTCAGTAACTTGGGTTGATGTAAACATTTGTTCAGTATCCACTGACAAAATTGAACTCATGTACGAAGTCAGCTGGACCTATGTCATGTACGCGCGTTGGATGATACAGACAAAGTTGTTGGTCGTGCAGGATCCTCCAAACACTTGATTTTGATGTCCCCACAATCTAGGCACTGGCACAAGTGATGGTGGATGGCTGTATCTCTATGCAATGCAGTTCGACATTGAGGCATCAAGTTTAAACAAAATGATATTAAATGTCGCCCTAGCACTGCTATTTTACGTTTGTGGGCATGGGTTCCTATTTCAAAGTTATTCTATAGGGAACCCTCAGTATGCTCCAGAAGTATGGCACCAAACTCCTGGGACACTCTGTATGTGTGCTTGTTTGAAGTACATGTATTCCAAAGTCATTGCAACACTGATAAGCTGTGTTGAGGTGATGTGCAGTTTCTGAAGAATGATCCTTCCATCCCATAAGATTATGCTTTCACACAGCTTGTACTAATTGGGTTGATATAGAGGTAATGCTGAAGACTTATGTTTTGGAGCTGTATTTTATGCATATTGGTTATCTGTATTGAGGATCTTAAGTGCTTCCTCGATTCTTCCAGGCAAATATGAGCATAGTACATCAATTATACCAAGTCCACTTCTTTCCAAACCCTTTGCAGTTGTTCATTGGTCATTCTAGCATCCAAGGGTATGTAGTTCTAGATACTGTAAAGTTGTAGTAATATAAGCCACAAAAGTAAAACAGCACATTAGTAAAGGAGAAATGTGTAATTTGGCAAGAAGGTGGATTGTGAATAAGTATGGAGATACTGTAAATTGAGTTGCGTGATAAGCCATAAATTAATAATGTTCTCGTCATGCAATCCACTTTGTCTTCTGTTGTCTCCTTTTAATTGTCATGTACCAATGGTTCTGCAGTTTGCCTATCTCCACTCTAGCCCATGCACTGTGTAATATCTAAGTTCTGGTAGATGGAGAGAGGCAGCAGGTCCCTGTAAAATGTTCCTAACAGCCAAACTAGGTGGTATCGTCCCAAATCATGCAGGTGGAGCGTTTATCTTTCATAGGTGAAACAACTGACATACTCAGTGAAACTGAGTTGTTCATGAGGAGCCAAAAGTGGCCAAAACAACATATTGTGGATAGAATTGTTCATTAGCATGGTCACAGGAGATGGCTGCTAGTTGCTTTCCTGAGTGAGATTAATACACGAGAATATGCAGGCGCAATAACGTGTTAGTTTCTAGACATGGCGTTTGGATTGATAATTTCATTTCAGTACTTATATCCAACAAATTATGCCAGGGGACCCAGAAGAAGCATTACAAATATAAACTACTAAAGGATGTTGGTCCGCATAGTATTTAGACATAGATGGAATTGCTCTGTCCAAGCAGGATAAACTTATTAAAATGTTAATTTGAAATGATTTCCCGGTAATCGAATCTCTTCCATATCTTTACGTGAACATTCAGTATTTAACTTCAACTCAAGAAGTTCCCTCCTACGTAAATTTTACAGTCCTCATACATCAGCGTATTCTGCCATTACAAGCTGAATGAAAAGTCTTGCACCATAAATTAATTTTGTTACGAGAAATATAAGGTACACCGAGTCATCTTAAATATTCACCTTTGATTTGGGCAGTCAGCTCATAGATGGCGGTAAGGTTGCCAGTCGTCCATTACCACCCGGCCCAAACCCTAGCGATGAGACAAGGTTATCTTTCCGATCTTTCCTGCCAGTACACAATCGACCTGCCGTCCATTGCGGCAATTGAGGTGATTGTGATGATTGTGATGATGGTAATGATCGTGATCGATCATGATCGATCATGATCCGGTCACGATTCCGTTGATGGCTTTCGGTTTGGCCGAAGGGGAACGTGGTGAGTATGAATAAATGTTTAAAAAATATATTGTTTTACTTTGTGAGGTTCTGAAAGTTGAAATTATGAAACTGAAATGTGTATGTAATATATTCATGGCATGAAAACAAATTATATAGACACATTGTGTTACGATTGTACTAGATATTGGTTCATATCCATAGTATATGACACGTGGAGTGTTGTATATGTATGTACTGGAATTTAATTACTCAGGATTCACGTTATAAAACGTACGTGTTCTTTTATAATTAAGATTTTATAGCATAGAACGCAGAAAATGTTTGCTTTGGGCTCCATATAATGAAAACGAGATCAAAGTGCGGAGGTAGAGGCAGGAACCGAAACTTGGCCTAAGAACGTGATGTGAAACCCCCAGTATTTGTATTTTTAGGAAGTGTGACTTCCTTTTTCATTGTACAGACTCAAAACCAGTTGTAATATGTGTATTTTGGCAGTATGCTTCAATGAAAGTTGCAGAATTGGAATAGTGGACCCCTCGGCAATCCAACTTAAGATAATGTTGAAAACCAAACACACAGAAAGCGACAACGGCGACCCTGTTCTTAAGAGAACAACGTAGTTGTTGTAGACGCTTGCGAAGGAACTACCGCGAAATAAGCAACTATACAGCAGCTGACTCAGCAAACAGTGGCCTTTGCTGGGTAGTGAGTGAGTGAGTGAGTGCTGAGTAGCGATTACCAGGGCACCCCAGCAGACGAATGCAACAATTGTACTGCAACAGAGGAACCATGTTTTCTGTGTGGTCTGTATTAGAAAACTCCAGCTTGGTCTCAGCTCAATGGAGACCTGGTGTGAGCACTGGATTGTTAAAATTAATGAAGATAAGACTCAGGGGATCTACTTTTCTTGCAGTCGTCGACCGCCTGAGTCACTTTTTACACTGAATGAACGAAACATTCCATTTGTAAATAGTGTAAAGTATCTCGGTGTAATCATCAGTAAGGAAGTTACATGGAGATTGCACATTGAAATGATTGAAGCCACCTTTTAGTAGAATATCTTTCCTATTCAAAAATGAGCGATTAAGCACTAACATTAAATTGACCCTTCAAAAAGCACTTGATAGGCGTATAATGACTTATGCTTGCCCTGCCTTGGAGCTTGTGGCAGACAGCCATCTACTGTAATTGCAGTGCCTGCAAAACAAAGTTTTCCACACAATTGGAAATTTTCCAAGGTGCACACCTGTTCGCGATTTGCACATGGCTTTCAAACTTGCATGCATATATGCTTTTATAATAAAATCATGCGGTCAACAAGCAGACGTCATAAAATATCATAAACACATTTAAATCATCTTTGCCTATTCATTTTGTCTGTGACCTTTATATTACTTTTTTTTTTGTAGTTTTATAAACATTCTAAATATCTGATGTAATCAGTCATTCAGTGGTTAATGTTTATGGTTAAATTCCAGGCAGGGGAAATCTTTATATGGCAGTGGTTCTTAACTATTTTTAAAATATGTAATTATGAAAATGAAATGTAATGAAAAATCTTGAGTGGCATGTAGAGAATGTTTAGCATCATGGGAACTACCACAGTCCCCCAACCCCCGAGAGGATGAACCACAAAAGTTGCAGAGAGAGAGAAATTAAAGCTGTATTTGACTCTTTTTGCACTGCCCTAGAGTATGCAAGATAGAATTTTTTGCAGCACTTGTAGTATTTCTTTGTTTCTTATCAGTTTTTATTTTTAAAAAATAGCCATGTGGGTAGCAAGAAGTAAAATAAGTAAGGTCAGGGAACTGAGTGAACCAGGAAGAAGTTAAGGTTAGTAAGGAGAGCAAAGAACATTGATCTGTAGGAGGTCCCTTTGACAAGGTCAGAGTGAATGAGAGAAAAAAACAAAACTAACAGGATTGGAGGGGCGGAGTCGAGGGGAAGAAATAAGAAGCTAAGGTACACATTCATAATGTGGGAAGATACGAACATGTGTATACAATTTTCAATTTTTAGTTAGTATCATGTTTGACAACGTTTTAAAGTCGGATCGTGAAATGTGAGACAGCAGATGCAGTTTTGAGGCATGTATTTTTAATATTAAGGTTCTTATAATAATGGAGATAGAGACTTGATAAGAAATATGGAAATTTGGAGCATCCAGAACCTTCAATAAATTCTGCTTCTAACGCTGTAACCCCAGGTATTGCACCTGCATTCAAGATACTGGGAAGTGTTGTGCTTTACACACCGATATGTGTAATAGTTTCCACAAATAACTACATACTGTGGATGTTGATCTGTGCCAGTGTTTTCATGATTTGTTGTAAGTGCCTCTGAAGATGGTTCCTTGGAACCGAAACATGTAAGGCAGACGATATAAATAAGTGACCAAAATATATATTGTTGCACTTGACGGAAAATCTATTGACAATTGGTGATTAATAGTGTAACGGACCAAAATGAAACAATTCAAAATTGATTGAAGAAATATCATAAAATATGTAACTAGTTGAACCAATAATTTATATGCCAGTAAGCCATAGAGATCCATGTATAAAGGAGGTAAAAACCACAGCTTCTTGTTCTTCAAAGTGATAATTACATTTGAAAAATGGTATGGGACTCATTTTGCAAAAATTAAGTGTTGCTTGTTGTTTACTTGCTTGACTTGGTCTTCAGCCATGCAGATGGAGGCAGTGTGTACCATGGGGACACCTAAGTATATCTGCTGGTCTGTATGTTGGTGTATCCCAGAAGGTGGTACCCTCTTCCTGAAAGGAAGTTAATATGGATAAGGTCACCTGTGTTCCCAAATGGGAAAGAGCTTTTGAAAGCAGTATTTCCATTCACTCAAGACATGGTGTGGGACAGCTCTTCCAATAGCAACAGAGTATTCCTTCTGCAAAAGAAATTTCTTAGAATCAAGGCAGGTATGAAGAAAATCTGTGTAAGAGGCTGCATATAGTGCTGCTTATTGGCTCCGATCACATTTGCAACTAACAGCTTGGAAATGTTTCAGGAAAACTCGGATGACCATGCAGTCAATACAGGATGCAAGTGCGATCGTCACGGAGCAGTTGCAGATCTTACTTTGTTATGTTTGAGATATGTTAATTGAAGGTAACTGAAAATTTCTAGCTATGAATATAATAGGAATCTCACCGAAGAGATGACACCTCATAGCTGGATGTTTGGCAGGATGATGATGGAAAACATAAATATGCTGTTTGCAGGAAGATGACATGATTTTACAGGCTCCAAGCTTCTGGTGTCAGACATATTTTGTATTTTAAGGACAGATTTTTCAGTAGATTTGCCATAGATTGTGAAATTACCTTCTAATTCACATGGAAATGCTTGTTGATAAAGTTTGAAACTTAACATTCATGGCGCATAGGAGGGATATTCAGTTGGTATGTTGAATTGTCTGAGCTGGGCCAGACAGGTGGGTCAGTCTGATTCTGGACCCATGTTGCACCAGTGTAATACTGAAAGTGAGAAATTAGACCAAAAATCTGTTTGTATTACTAATCAAAAGGAATACTAAATAATTTGTCAGACCAAATATAATATGAAGATTTGTGTCTCATGTCCCCCCCCCACTTGCAGTTGATAATGGAATAAGCCCTGTTGGACAGTCCTAATTTACTTTTCAGCCAATGGATGTCTTAACTGCACTTAAGCATCATAATCTTACTATATTTTTTTACAGCTGTAAATTGAGAATACATGCTGTTGACATCAGTCTCCCACTTTCTTGGAAATACTGTCCTCCAGTGAAGAGAAGGCAAGGCAAGTGCTGGATAGAATAATAATATACTAAACATTAGTGTCTTGTGGGGTATGGCACCATGTAGTCTGGCAGAGGAAAGTGCTGCCTCCCTTGTTAGGTGAAGAAGTGCACCTCAGGTCACACGTAAACATACACTGATGCAGTGTTGGGCAGTAGCCACTGCTGAGACTCAGTTCTGTATTTATCCAGTAGAGTTTTCGGAGTGTACAGTGTCGAAACCTCAGTGAAGTCGGATGAAAATATTTGTCTTACAGTTACAGTTACAAAGCCTTTCTTTCTGCCTCATGTCTTCCCATAGCTCATCTATTTTGCATGACTTTTTTCTAACCAATTGTGCCTGTTTTGGTTGTCATCTCGGGCATTCTCCCTTAATTTCATATTCAAAATCTTACATGGCATTGTTTGTTCAGTCTTAGAATGTTCTATATACCATCTTAATTTGTCCTTTATGAATATATCTCTAAACCAAGTTTTTTCTTCTCGTATTCTCTCTTAGTTTTTTCTTCTATACTTAAAAATCTCTTCTGACCTGCTGCTGGTCTGTTCATTAATATTGGCCTGTAGCAGTATTTAATAAACACATTTTTTCTTTAGCAATTCCCATTTCGAAAGTGTATCCCCAGTTAACTGGCCGAATTTTGCTGCATTCTTTTTGTAATTTATTTTACTCTTCCATTTGTCTCTCTTTTACTTCCACAGTTTTAAAACTGGCTGTTTTCATTGTTTCATGATTATTACATTTCATCGTTTCTGATTTATATAAGGCTGTAATGGACTTTCCATATATTCCTTGAACTGTTTCACAGATGTTACTAAAATTCGATGCGGGAGTTCCATCATATCAGGCAGTACTGATTTTCAGCCATTTGCATTCAAAATAAAGCTTAGTTCATATAAGGTCTTAAATCAACTTTTGCATATATCACATCAACCATTTCATAGGTATTGGTGAAATTCAACAGAGGTTATTAATACACACTCATCACACAGAGCAAATTATAGTACTTTATCACTTGGTACTTTTTACTTCCATTACATCTTGAGTTGGGGTAGCGCAATCAGTGTCATTAGAGTATTCCTGGAAAACAACCTTCTCTGTTCTGGTTTAAACTCTTAATGGCGTGAAGACATTTCAGGTGACAGAATGTGAGGCATTTTAATGGCAGCATTGCAGTGCTTATGTTTTAGTTTCAGCTGACAGAATGTTTATGTGTGATTTTCAAGTGACGTGAGGCATTTTGACAGCAATGTTGCAGCACATTATGTGTGAAGTTTCAAGTTACAGTGTGAGGCATTTTAACAGCAGTGTTGCAGTGCATCATGTGTCTTTCAAGTGACAGTGTGAGGAATTTTAATGGCAGTGTTGCAGTGCATTAAGTGTGAGTTTCAAGTGACAGAATGTGAGGCATTTTAATGGCAGTGTTGCAGTGCATCATGTGTCTTTCAAGTGACAGTGTGAGGAATTTTAATGGCAGTGTTGCAGTGCATTAAGTGTGAGTTTCAAGTGACAGAATGTGAGGCATTTTAATGGCAGTGTTGCAGTGCTTATGTGTGATTTTTTAATTAAACCATGTAGGGTACAACAGCACCCAGTCAGCTGTTGTGAGTTGTGGGCTGAATTTGAAGCCAGTAGATGCATGGTGTACTAGTGTAATTGGAAAACAGAGTCTCTGTGTTTCAGATAGTACCTGTGCACCGGTAAACATTTCATGAGGTATGGTGATCTAAAATCTCCTGTTCTGTCTTTACACCAGCAACATTTGAATTTCCCACCGCGTTGTGATCATATGTTTAGTGCTATGTCTTTCATAGTTACCTTCTTTGACATCTCTTTTTCCAAGTAGTTTGTCTAGGGGAGCAACAGATGGCAGGAGGCTTAGATTTTCTAAACAAACCTCTATGCATGTTTTTGTGTTTGTTATACCTCATAGGCAGCCTCCGTGAAACTCCCATGTTATTGGTTGGCAACGTGGCCGCCATGTCACCTAGGTGCAGTGCTGCTGCCATTTCTACGCAGCTTCATCAGTAATCTGTCAGACGACAGGTCCACAGTCTCTTCCAAAACAATTCCTCCACTTAACGTGATCTAGAGCTTTCTCCTTCAAATGACAGTATCCTCTTCTGTCCCCAAGGTCATCCAGCATCTTCTTATGTCTTTTTCGTCGTCTTCTTGTCACTTCTATCCACCCCTCTATCTTTCCTTCAATAACTTCTTTTAGAAGGCAGTTTCTGCGTAAAAC